GCCTTAGCCTGGGTGAAGTCCTGGATGGTGATCGCATGGCCGAGTCTTTGTACGAGATCCGCTTTCGGGAAAATGTGGAGAAGCGAGTTCTGTGTCACATGCAGCTCAGTTCTGCACAGGTCAGCCTGTCCTCATGGCTGCCACCCAGCCCTTCCCCTAGGGACTAGTACCAGTGTTTTACGCAGGTTTTCAGGGTGCATTTATCGTTTTCAGATTACCTTTATGAACATTATCTGTATTGATTCTAACTACAACCCTCCATGTGGTAGATAAGGGAAGATGATAGTTCACTTGAAAAACCGAAGTGTGGAAATTTAGAAATGACTTTTTTGAGATTACAAGGATAGTGAGTTGCAGAGGTGACATTAGAGCCCACAGTGTTCCAGCTTTCACTCTTCCATAGTTGTGTTTCCTTTCATACCAAATGTTCACCTCATTCTTGACTGGCTACTTTTCCTCTCTACTTAACTTTCCTCTGCCATTCTTTCTCTTTAACAAGTCATACTTTAGGACCATGTCCCTTAAGTTTCTAACATACTGCACCAGGTATGAGATGCTAGTTCCTAATCCAGTCATCCTCAAAAGTGACAAGTTTACACTGCAATCCTAGAGGTATGCAGTTCATATCCACCAGATGCTCTGCTGAAGGCGGGGCAGGTCTCCTCCTGTACCAGTCAGATCTGATTTGACGGTACACACTAAAAAAATAATAACATTTTTTTTAAAGTGACAGTTTTATACTCCAAAGGACATTTGGCAGTATCTGAAGGGGTTTTTTTTGTTTGTTTGTTTTTTGGTTTTGTTTTTTTTTTAATACTAAAAAAATAATAACATTTTTTTTAAAGTGACAGTTTTATACTCCAAAGGACATTTGGCAGTATCTGAAGGGGTTTTTTTTGTTTGTTTGTTTTTTGGTTTTGTTTTTTTTTTAATACTGGCTGGTGCTAATGGCATCACCCAGGGAAGAGAACAGGGATGCAAAACACAAGACAGTACCCAAAACAAAAAATTGTCAGGTCTAAAATGTCACGGCCCAAAATAAATTGCTGAGGATGAGAAACCCTGCCCTAGCCCTATCCCAGGGAGGCCTTGTCTGATTGATTCCTGACTTACTCTTTGTAGGTAGAACAGCTGCGCCAGGCCATCGAGGAGCTGTACTACTTTGAATTTGTGGTAGACGACTTGCCAATCCGAGGCTTTGTGGGCTACATGGAGGAGAGTGGCTTTCTGCCACACAGCCACAAGATAGGACTCTGGACCCATTTGGACTTCCACCTAGAATTCCACAGGGATCGAATTATCTTTGCCAATGTCTCAGTACGGGATGTCAAGCCCCACAGCTTGGATGGGTTACGGCCTGATGAGTTCCTGGGTCTCACTCATACTTACAGTGTGCGCTGGTCTGAGACTTCAGTGGAGCAGCGGAGTGATAGGCGCCGTGGTGATGATGGTGGTTTCTTTCCTCGAACACTGGAAATCCATTGGTTGTCGATCATCAACTCCATGGTGCTTGTGTTTCTACTGGTGGGTTTTGTCGCTGTCATTCTCATGCGTGTGCTTCGTAATGACTTGGCTCGGTACAACCTGGATGAAGAGACAACCTCTGGAGGCTCTGGTGATGACTTTGACCAGGGTGACAATGGCTGGAAAATTATCCATACAGATGTTTTTCGCTTTCCTCCATACCGTGGCCTGCTCTGTTCTGTGCTTGGCGTGGGTGCCCAGTTCCTGGCCCTTGGCACTGGTGAGGTGATAAGAATTAAACAGGGATTTCTCTTAATGGGTAGAATTAGGTAGATAGCTTGTTGAGAAAATGCCTGTGGGTCTTCTACCTACCCAAGGTGAGGGGGAGACCTGAGGAATGAAGTGGCATTAGTGAGAATGTATATACTATGGATTTTCTGGACAAGAAAGTTGGGGGAGATTGTTTTGCTGAAAGCCTGGGGCTGAGGGAAAAGGGGCCCAATCTCCTATGCTAGAAGTATAGGTGAAACTTAACACATAGTCTTTTCGCTGTTACCTGCAGGCATTATTGTCATGGCACTACTGGGCATGTTCAACGTGCACCGTCATGGGGCCATTAACTCAGCAGCTATCTTATTATATGCCCTGACCTGCTGCATCTCTGGCTACGTGTCAAGCCACTTCTACCGGCAAATTGGAGGCGAGCGTTGGGTGTGGAATATCATTCTCACCACCAGTCTCTTCTCTGGTGAGCTCCCCTCTCTCCCCAGTGGGTCAGCCTGGACTTAGGAACTTGGAACACATCATGGAACCCAATATCGGAGTAAAGCTTTAAGGAAATAAAGATAGGCATAAAGAAACAGAATAAGAAAACTACTCAAGGACAAGAATAGTTAAAAACTATTAAACCCTTAAAACAAGCTATGTTTCATTCTAAATGCTCTATATTCCTATAGCCCAATAACCCTATGAAGTAATTCATTAACACTGCTCTCATTTTACTGATAAGGAAATTTAATTTCAAGCTAATTCAATAATTTGCCCAAGATTATACGCCTAAAAAGTTGTGAACCAGACTTCAAACCCAGTCACTTTTACTCCAGAGCCTGTATTCTCAACCACTTACTGAAAGAACTCCTTTGAATTTATTGATTCCCCTAAGTTCTTTCTTCATATTGGAGGAGGGTAACTCTACTGCAGCATTTTGAACCATTTTGCGCTTTCAAAGGCAGTCATAGTCTGCATTCAAAACCTTTTTTGTCCTTAATCCTAAATGTTTGATTTCTATCCCATCATGTTTACATGTGAACCAGGACTTTCTCAAAATAGAGCCTTAATCCAAAGACAGGTTTTATATAACTTTTAGATCTTTATGTAGCAGCTATCTTGATCTTTATTAATGATGGTGAGTGTGGGAAGAGGGTGTTAGTAAGACAAGAACAGTGTGACATGGGTGAGAGCAGTGGGCCCTATGTGGATATCCCACAGCATATGTCTGCTGTTTATAGTGATAAAATTACTTTACCTCTGTCCTTTCTGGTCCAATATAAATGGGTGCCTCCAAGAACATAGCTCCCAGTGCTAACCTTCCCTCTGGGGACATATACCTGCAGTGCCTTTCTTTCTGACATGGAGTGTGGTGAACTCAGTGCATTGGGCCAATGGTTCAACACAAGCTCTGCCAGCTACCACCATCCTGCTGCTGCTGACAGTATGGCTACTGGTGGGCTTTCCTCTCACTGTGATTGGAGGCATCTTCGGGAAGAACAATGCTAGCCCCTTTGATGCACCCTGTCGCACGAAGAATATCGCCCGAGAGATCCCACCCCAGCCGTGGTATAAATCGACCCTCATCCACATGACTGTTGGAGGCTTCCTACCTTTCAGGTATCCTCTTTTTATTCTACTGCGATTACTTACAGATCTTGACCTTGAGTTTTCCTTTCCTCATCCACCACCCTGTAACCTAATCCAATTCAGTAATAATTTCTAGTTTAGCTGTAACATTAAGAGGTCATTACATGGTTTCTTCTATCCCTAAACAAGACTGAGCTGGTATTAGTTTAGATATGTGAAATGTTTCACCTTTAAAGTTCTCCAGAGACTCTCCCTTCATCATATTCTTTGTTTCTGACTAAAGTGTCTACAAGCCCTGTGTGGAGTTTAAACCAATGAACTAGTCATTTTTTTCACTCAACCTCTTTGTGCCAGGCATATTATCCAGTAAAAAATAAGACAAGAACTTAGTCATATTTGTTAAATGAGAGCAGAGGACTGTCCTATGAAGTTAGGAAATCAGTTCACTTACCTTTCATAGTGGCCCAGCAAGGGGGAGGATGGGTCCGAGATGCTGATCAGAGCACTGTGCTTGCAGTGTGCAGCCCTTTAACATGGTGTATTGTTTCTTCTCTCTACAGTGCCATCTCTGTGGAATTATACTACATCTTTGCCACAGTCTGGGGTCGGGAGCAGTATACACTATACGGCATTCTCTTCTTTGTCTTTGCCATCCTGTTGAGCGTGGGGGCTTGCATCTCCATTGCACTCACCTACTTCCAGTTGTCTGGGGAAGATTATCGCTGGTGGTGGCGATCAGTGCTGAGTGTTGGCTCCACTGGACTCTTCATCTTCCTATATTCAGTTTTCTACTATGCCCGGCGCTCCAACATGTCAGGGGCAGTACAGACAGTAGAGTTCTTTGGCTACTCCTTACTTACTGGTTACGTCTTTTTCCTCATGTTGGGCACAATCTCTTTTTTTTCTTCCCTAAAGTTCATCCGATATATCTATGTTAACCTCAAGATGGACTGAGTTCTGGGTGGCCAGAATTAGTGATCTCTTTTATGCCCTTTCTAAATGCTCCATTGACCTCTCCTGCCAGGGTCACGTCTGATTGAGTGACTGAATCGTGTGATGGCATTGTTGCCTTTCCCTGTTGGTCCTCCTATTCCCAGAGAGGGCCTGGAAACTCGAAATCTCTATTATGAGGAGTATATATTTGGATTTTTAAAGTTGTTTTTAGTTTCGGTCCCTATTTTTCTTTTTACAACTATGAAAATAAAATTTACTAAGAAAAAGGATCCTGTAGTTAAGGTTTGGTCTGGATATAGGCACTCAGTTTCTGCGGTTAAGTGCACAGTGCCCTGGAAAGCTGAGTCAGTCTTGGGAACGCAGAAAAGTTTAATTTTACAAAAAGAGCCCTTGCGGTATGGAGTTACGCTGCCAACCCAAAGGTCCAACGTTTGAATCCACAGGAGAAAGATGGGCAGTCTCCTTCCATGTGATTTACTGCCTCTAAGAAACCCTTGGAAATAAAGTGGGGTGGGGGGAAGAAACCCTTGGAGGGTTGCTTCCGACTCAACAGTACACAACAGAGTCCAGCAGCAGGGCCTGGGAACTATCCTCCGGAACAGATCTTGTTAGGGTCCTGTTTCCGCGGCTGAGTCCGTGAACGCACCAACGGAAGCGGCGGAGCCAGAGCCCCTAGTGGGAAACGCGTTGGATCACCTAGGCGACGGAAGGTGCTTGGAGCAACGCCCTTTCCGGCGGAAGTGGATGTCAGAGACTCCACGTGCTGTCCCTACCTCTACCGGCTCAGACCCGCGGCTCTGCTGCTGCCATGGAGCCCACCGGCCTGGAGCAGATCCTTCGGGAGTTACTACTGCCAGACACCGAACGCATTCGCCGGGTATGGGGCAGGCGGGACTGGGCCAGGGCGAGCGGGAGGAAGCCGGAAGGGCCGGACTCTGACACCTTGCCCCCTTTCAGGCCACAGAGCAGCTCCAGATCACCCTTCGGGACCCTGCCTCCCTTTCGGCGCTCTGTGACCTTCTGGCTTCAGCGGCCGACCCTCAGGTGAAGCCCCTTCCCCTTCCCGCTGAGCTGCCCACAGCATGCCACTGGCCAAACCCCAGTTCCTTCCCACTGCTACCCGATCTCCACCTTCTTGCCTGGATCTTCCCTTCTGCTTCCTCGCCCCTAGATCCGTCAGTTCGCGGCTGTGCTGACACGCAGACGACTGAGTACTCGCTGGCGGAGACTCGCCGCGGAACCTAGGGAGAGGTGGGCTGGGCCCTGGGCAGGACGGGGTCGGGCTGATTTTGCTTTCATACAGGGTAGTACTGAATATCTGCTAATTGAATTCCAGCCTCAAGTCCTTGGTCTTGACATCCCTGCAGAGAGAGACTGAGTGAGTGTTTACTTGCTTCCTCTGACTCACACATTCGGGCTTTCAGCTGTAAACTGAGATTTGGGGGTCATTAACATCAGTACCAGCAGAGTTTTACAGCAGGGCCTGGGGACTGTATCTGGAGAACAGATACTGTTAGGGTAAAGCCAGAGATTCTGAACTGCTTTGAACACTAAACGCTTGGAAGTTCTTGAGAATGGGCTGGTGGTGATTTATGAAACCTGAGTCTGAAGAATGGAATGGAAATTCAATCTGAGACTGAGTTTATCAGATTACAAACCTCTTGGCTGGGTCTTCATCCAAATCACTGCCTCATTTGTCTCAACTTGATGTAGACACTATGTCCACACCTGAGAGCTTCTCTCTCCTGGCTGCCCCTAGAAGGTAGGCTAGCATGTATGGGAGGAAGGAAAGTATTGAAGGATGATGAGAGGGACTTCCTGTTTGCAGTCATTCTGTGACCCTCAGCCTGGCCCAGCTCACAGCCACCATTTTTCGGAAGGAAGGTTTGAAGGCCTGGCCTCAGCTCATGGAGCTCCTTCAACACAGTACCCATAGCTCTCACATCCCAGAGAAAGAGGTACTGTTTTACATTGGGCAGGAGGGAGGGACTGAAGGCTGGATATACAGTGTAAATATCTCTTTTCTATCCCCTATTCCTGGAAGATGGGATTTTTGTTACTGAGTGTGGTGGTGACCTCCCAACCTGATGCTTTCCAAACTCATCACCGGGAGCTTCTTCGACTTCTGAATGAGACCCTTGGTGCAGTGGGCTCCCCGTGCCTACTCTTCTATTCCTTGCGAACTCTGACCTCCATGGCCCCCTTCCTTGGCACTGATGATGTGGTGAGATGTAGGCCCACACTTTCCTACCCCATCCCCCACAATGGTTTAGACTTTGGTATACAGTGATACTTCTTTTCCTGCCTGTTGTCTTACTTGGCTACTGGGAGGGGGCAGACTGGTAGTTGAGACCCATTCCTATACTTGAGCTCTTTCTCAAGAGCCAATTTGTGAAGAGGCTGCTAGTTTCTCAGCTCTGAAGATCATAGGCTGCTCTATGATTTCTGAAATTCAATTCCTCTTGTGTCCTCCAGCCTCTTGCACGGATGTTGGTGCCCAAGCTTATCATGGCTGTGCAGACCCTAATCCCCATAGATGAGGTGAGGACATAGAGGTGGGACTTTACTGGAAGGAGAATGAGGAATATTTCACCTGGTCCACAGAAGAAGAAACATGGCAGCTCTATATGAGTTTTCCTTCTGTTCCTTAGGCAAAGGCCTGTGAGAGCCTGGAGGCCCTAGACGAGCTGCTAGAGTCAGAGATGCCCATCATCACACCCCACCTCTCGGAAGTCCTTAATTTCTGCCTGGGGGTGAGACGGGTGGATTTGTTCATATATAATGTTCTGATGGGAGTTTGCTTGCCTGCCTCTGATTCCCCTTAGTCTCTGGGCAGGTTGCTGGAAATGTGGCCCTAGGTGATGCAATACGAGTACGCATTCTCTGCTGCCTCAGTTTTTTAGTCAAAGTCAAGAGCAAGGTGAGTGCCCTCTGATACACATCACCCTACACTTTTCTCCGCTGTTAGTCCAACTTAAGGGCTTTCCATCTCAGGGTATGCAAAAACACCTTGGCTGATACGTTTAACTTTGACCTGGCTCCCAGCTCGAGACTGGAAATTTCTTGTGGTGCCCCTTTTCTAGCTCCTAGAAGGCTGGATTTTATTATCTTTTTTTTTAAAAAAAAAACCAAAACCAAAAACAAACATGATCCCATCTTGGGAGTAGACTTTAGGGCATTTTTCTGCTTTCCCTCTCAAGGCCTTACTGAAGAACCGTCTGTTGCCACCCTTACTGCACACACTTTTCCCCATTATGACTGCCGAGCCACCCTTGGGGCAGTGTGATCCTGAGGACCAGGATTCAGAAGAGGATGAGATGGAGATGGGGTTGTCAGGAGAGACTCCCAAGCACTTTGCTGTACAGGTAAGACATAGAATAGGGCCAAGATGTAGGGTATTAGATTATTGCAGAGACAGAGATAGAGTTAAACAAAACCTTCCCATTCTTTCTCAGGTTGTGGACATGCTGGCACTACACCTCCCCCCTGAGAAGCTCTGTCCCCAGCTGGTAAGTATGGTTTTACTTTCTGGCATTCCCATCTGCAGAAAGTTTTAGTCCCAGTAGATTTGAGGGGACTTTTTGCTATAAGAATGGGCATGCTCTTGCTGGAATATTAGGAGAGTACCATTTGTCTCCCTAGATGCCCATGTTGGAAGGAGCTCTGCAGAGTGCAAGCCCATACCAACGAAAGGCTGGGCTCCTGGTACTGGCCGTGTTGTCTGATGGAGCTGGTGACCACATCAGGCAGAGGTATATATTCTACTTGAGTGATTAGGAGCTTTGAGAAGTGGACCACATTCCTGGGACAGTCTTTGCTTATTTTTGTTTCAGCCTACTTACCAGTAACATTATACTCTTCATGTGTCTGGTTTGGGAGATAAAATAAATTATTATTTCAGTTATGAGGCCAGAAAGGGAGTTCTGGTGGCTTAGCGGTAAGAAACTATGGTGCATTAGAGGTTCGAATCAACCAGCTACTCTGTGGGAGAAGGATGAGCAGTCTCCTCCCATGTGATTCACTGCCTCTGAAAACCTGCTGGGGGGTCAGCTATGAGTCAGTTCCAATTTAGTGACACACCAAAACAACAGCAGAGGGGTCAGGTTGGTTTTTCCCAGGGGAAGCAAAAACAGGCCAGTTTTGTACTCTGTTCCATTTTCCTTAGACTCTTGTTGTCTTGTTCTGCTCCCACCCAGACTGCTGGCCCCATTACTGCAGATCGTATGTAAGGGCCTGGAAGACCCATCCCATGTTGTGCGAAATGCTGCACTTTTTGCCCTGGGCCAGTTCTCCGAGAACCTGCAGGTCAGCTGGGCTGAACATAGCCTGTGGCTTCTTCAGTCCCTTCCCATCCCCAAGACTTAACCATCATGCCTTTAGCTTGCATCTCCTGTCTAAGCATTCTTCCTGGAGTGTGTGCCTTGCACCTGAGCCTGACTCTGGCACCTCTTTCTCCTTCCCTCAGCCCCATATCAGCAACTATTCAGGGGAAGTAATGCCGCTACTCCTTGCCTACCTAAAGTCAGTGCCACCAGGACATGTACAACACCTAGCCAAGGCCTGTTATGCCCTGGAGAATTTTGTGGAGAACCTAGGTAGTAATGGTGGGGGGGGTGTGATGGAGAGGAGTCTGCTGCCCTTTTTTGCCCTAGGGCCCAAAGGCCACCACAGGATCAGTCTGTATCCAAAAGGATAGAAACCTGGGTTGATTGAGAGGAGGACTTTTTCATATAGGGTCCAAGGTGCAGCCCTACCTTCCTGAGCTTATGGATTGTATGCTACAGCCTTTGAGGAACCCCAGTAGCCCTCGAGTCAAGGAGCTGGCTGTGAGCGCCCTAGGGGCCATTGGTGAGAAGAAGATGGGGGAATAGGGTTTCCCCCGAGAGCCTGTGCTAGCATCCTTCCCCTCTCCTCCACCCTGACTCTTTCTCTGTCCTGCAGCCACAGCTGCCCAGGCCTCCCTGCTGCCCTACTTCCCTGCTATCATGCAATGCCTGCAGGAATTCCTCTTGACAGGCCATGAGGACCTTCAGCCTGTGCAGATCCAGAGCCTGGGTAAATGAGGGTTAGGGTTACTAGGTGAGGTCCCAGTGCTAGGGTGTGGGGTGATCACCTGATATTCACAAGCACTCCCCTAGGGCAGCACAGCTGTCTTACTTCTCATCAAATGTGGTCACCTTGACACTGTCTAGTAGGAGTAAGTGGTGTTTCTCAATTCCCTCAGTTGCTACCTTTAGTTCCAAGGTCTTGGTCCTACCTTTCTTCAGCTCACTTGCACACTCTGACGTTAACCAAACTCTTGTTCCACAGAGACGTTGGGTGTGTTGGCACGAGCAGTAGGGGAGCCCATGAGGCCCCTGGCTGAGGAATGCTGCCAGCTAGGGCTGGGCCTGTGCGACCAGGTAGACGATCCTGATTTGCGGCGCTGCACGTGAGTGGCCCCTGATTCCACCCACATGCCCAACCACTAGATCCACAGAGTCCTCACTCCCATGCTCTGTGCATGTGATCTGGACCACAGCCAGGCTTTCCACCATGTCTGGCTATAGCAGATGGAATTTGCATAGTCTCTGTCTACTTCCACCAGGTACAGCCTATTTGCAGCCTTATCGGGATTGATGGGGGAGGGCCTTGCCCCTTATCTGCCGAAAATCACCACGCTTATGCTGTTGTCATTGCGCTCCACCGAGGGCATCGTGGTGAGCAGGGGGAGCGGCTGACAGGATGGCTGGGAATGGTCAGCCTGAAATACACTGTCTCCTGGACCCCCTGAACCTGAGTCCTCCTATCACTCCTACATCCAGCCTCAGTATGATGGCAGCAGCTCATTCCTTCTGTTTGACGACGAGCGTGATGGGGAAGAGGAGGAGGAGGAGGAACTCATGGACGAGGACATGGACAACGACGAGGACTCGGAGATCTCAGGGTGCGGAGGCTTGCCGTGTTGGCCAGAGAAATCCAGACTGTGATTTTGTCTGTGGAGCTGTGACTGACGACCACTGCCTCCTGTTTAGGTACAGCGTGGAGAATGCCTTTTTCGATGAGAAAGAAGACACTTGTGCTGCTTTGGGGGAGATCTCTGTGAACACAAAGTGAGTGTTCCTCCTTCTTTTGCCTTGAACCCCCACCTGGGAGCCACCTCCCCATGGTTGTGTGTCTGTCCACAGTGTGGCCTTCCTTCCATACATGGAGAGTGTCTTTGAAGAAGTATTCAGGTTGCTGGAGGTGAGTGGGCCAGTGAACAGGGGTAGGTGGGACTTGTGGGTTAGTGGCCTGTGTTCACCCTGTACCTGGCAGGCACACCCACAGTCTCCTTCATCCTGCAGTGCCCTTACTTCAGTGTTCGGAAAGCAGCGCATGAGGCCCTGGGTCAGTTCTGCTGTGCGCTGCACAAGGCCTGTCAGAGCTGCCCCTCAGAACCCAACACTGCTGGTGAGGAGGGGAGACTGGGACCAGGCTCGGGGACTGCAGTCAGGGTGGGGCAGGGCCTGGCCAGAGCTTCAATCAGTGATGTCCTCAGCTCTGCAGGCTGCTCTGGCCCGGGTGGTACCGTCTTATATGCAGGCAGTCACTGGGGAACGAGAACGCCAGGTGGTGATGGCTGTGCTGGAGGCTCTGACCGGTGTGCTGCGCAGCTGTGGGGCCATTGCCCTGCAGCCTCCCGGGCGCCTTGCTGAGCTCTGCAGTGTGCTCAAGGCTGTACTGCAGAGGAAGGTGAGCAGGGTGGGTGGGCTGAGGGAGAGGAGACCTGGCCCTAGATTGGGGCAGTCAGAAGCTACAAGTCCTGCTCCCCCAACCCCATGGGATGAAGGCGGGAGAGCTGGGCTGAACTGAGTTAACTGCCCACAGATAACCTGCCAGGACAGTGATGAGGATGAAGAGGAGGATGAGGACCAGGTGAGAGCTCTAGGGACCCGGCAACCTGATTGGTCTCTGTGGAGGTGGTGGTGGTTATGCAGTGAAACTTAGGAGAGCCAGCCACTAAAGTAGATGAGTGAAGGCTCAGAATGACCCAATCTTGATTTCACTTGGCCTGTGAGAACTCAGGGAAGGAAAACAGTGTGGACTAGAGCGTCTAGAGATGTGATGGGTGAGAGTGAAATGGCCAAGAGAAGCATTTGGAGTTGTGAGAAGCCCAGTATGGGAAGGCTGAGTCCTGTCATCCATGGGCCACAAACTGGGGCATGGCAGTAGTGGGACATGGTTGGAGATGCCCAGTCACAGAGCTGGCCCTGGAGCTCAACCCCTGACCTGCCTCAACAGGCTGAATACGATGCTATGTTACTGGAAAATGCAGGAGAGGCCATCCCTGTCCTGGCTGCTGCTGCTGGAGGAGATGCCTTTGCCCCCTTCTTTGCTGGCTTCTTGCCACTATTGCTGTGCAAGACGGTGCGTGTTCCATTCACTGACATTGAGCTCCATTCCACCCCTGTTCCCAGCCCACCTGTATTTATCTCAAACGATTTGTATTCCTTTTCCACTTTTCCACTACCAGAAACAGGGCTGTACAGTGGCAGAGAAGTCGTTTGCAGTGGGAACCCTAGCAGAGTCCATTCAGGGTCTGGGTACTGCCTCAGCCCAGTTTGTGTCTCGGCTGCTTCCTGTGCTGTTGAGCAGTGCCCGGGAGGCAGACCCTGAGGTGCGGAGCAATGCTATATTTGGACTCGGTGTGCTGGCAGAACACGGCGGACGCCCTGCCCAGGAGTATCCTCAGTTTGCAGGGGAAGTCTTGGATGGGGCCAGAGGTTGACAACCACCAGGAGTGCAGGGAGAGTAAAAGCCTCTCTGTCTCTCTGTGTGTCAGGCTCACGCCTTTTCCTGTGCCAAGGGGCTGAGGGTAGGGTCTGCCTTTGTGTGTACTTGTTCCTTGACCTGGGTCCCAGACATTTCCCCAAGCTCTTGGGGTTCCTGTTGCCCCTGTTAGCACGAGAGCGCCACATTCGTGTCCGTGACAATATCTGTGGGGCACTTGCCCGCCTTCTGATGGCTAGTCCCACAAAGAAACCAGAACCCCAGGTGAGAGACGAGGGCTTCAGGCAGGGCCAAACAGCTGAGGTGGTGGGAGGCAGAGCAGATAGACCTGAGATATCTCTGTCCAGGTGCTCGCTGCCCTCCTGCACGCACTGCCGCTGAAGGAGGACTTGGAGGAGTGGGTCACCATCGGACACCTCTTCACCTTTCTCTACCAGAGTAGCCCTGACCAGGTAATGATCGTGCTTGGTGGCAGTAAGTAATTCCCCAGGCCCTTGGAGGGGACCAGGTGTCCTGGTCATAGAAGAGAACTGGTGTCAGTTGTCGCTGTTATTAGATAGTCCTCTGTTCATCCACATTCTCTTCTGTCACTTGCAAGGGTTGGCAGCCAGTCTGGTGGCTGAGGAGGGAGCATTTTTCCTCAGGGAAGCACAATCCTCCATAGCCATTTCTACCATTTCATTTGTGCCAAAAGTTGTATACTGGGAAACTCCACCAACCCTTTCAATCAGAGAGGCTCTACTCTCTGGGTGAGATTTTGTCTGTACTGAGTAGCTAGGTTTGGAGTTATTACCCCGTGTTCCTGTGTGTGTTCTCCATCTTGTCCCTTTAGATATTTGTAGGTTATTGGAGCTCCTTGGTATGTGGGCTTTTGGTCTTGAAGCTATGACTTTAGTCACCTTTGGTCACACATCTCCTATTTTCTCAAAGCAAACTGTATTAACACAGTGATTTACGGATGCCTGTGAATCAATATCTGGTTCAAGTAACCCTGATAGAATTGCCTTTCCATGTTCTCCACCACCTCAGCCCTATCTTCAGCCCATCTGGGTAGGGAAGCCCGGTTCTGGTACTTCTGTCTTAACCCCTTTGGCCACTCTTAAGGCCCCAGGCACTACTGCCCCTGAATCCACCATTCCTCTTCACAGGTTGTAGATGTGGCTCCTGAACTTTTGCGAATCTGCAGCCAGGTTCTGGCTGACAGCAAGGTCCCAGCAGGTGAGGGTGATGGGCAGAGCTGGGGTGGGGCTGGGAGTAGTAGTGCTCACAGGGCCTGGGAGCAAGGGGTTGACCCTCTATACTCTCTATCCAGATGCCAAGGCCACACTGCTGCTGCTCCTGACCTTCCTAGCCAAACAGCATGCTGACAGCTTCCAGGCAGCCCTGGGCTCACTGCCTGGTGACAAAGCTCAGGAGCTGCAGGCCGCTTTGGGCCTCACGTAGACTTCAAGCTGTGGCCAGGACAGAAGAACTGAACAGCCTAGACCACTTCCTGGCCTATGTCCAGCTTGCACCTTACCAGAGTCTAGGCCTCGTGCTCACCTGTCTGCTGCCTTACAAGAACATCTTTGGGGCTGTCCTTGTTACACTGTAGGGTAACACAAGTGAAGTCTTGACATCGTACTGTAATAAAGGCAGTTTTCTGCTCTAAGGCAGGGAAGATGGAGACACACATTTACAAACGAGGCAGACAGGGCCCAGTAAGGCAGAACCTGATTTAATGTAGCTGTTTTCCTGAAAGCTTTGCATGTAGCTTCTAACTGCTGTGGAATCTGGGTCCTGGCTTTATCAAGAGGCGTCCATACGGCCGCTCCTGTTCCACACGAAGGATCTTCTGTGCTGAGAGCACTAGACAAGCAGGGAGGAAGGGGCGAGGTCAGGAGCACTCTGTACCTTCCCCCACTCCAGTGTGGACAGCTGCCTCTGGCCTGTGTGTTTTCCCTGCCCCGCCCTACACACAAATACACTCAGGTCCCTATGCTTACCCAGGAGTAGGTAGAAAACCCGAGCAGCTGTTCTGCGGGAACTCAGAGGTGGCACCAGGCTGCTGAAGTCAGGTTCTCTTTTGGCCTGTAGTTCCAGTGCCACTGCCCTACAGGGATCAGGAGCAATTAGCTGAGGCCACAGCGCAGGTTCACCCCAGTGAGGTACCCCTTCCTTGTTACCTGTGCACAGCCTCCAGCGAGACCAGCTCTGGCTCTGGAGGCAGTTCCAAAGGCAGCTCCATAGGCACTTCGGGGAGTTCAGGCACAACGGGCAATGCAGGAGGCTCTGGCTGCTCCATCTCAGCCCAGGCCCTGGGAGGACATGGGAGCCAGATATGGGGAGGGGAAGATGGCACCCGGAACAATGACGGGCATCACCTTCCCCGCATTTCCTCCACCTGGCCATGGCTGCAGCCCCAAATGCACACAACCAGGCTGCTTACCACCGCTCTTCTGGAGGGATGAGGCTAGTGCGGGACTTCTCTTCCTCAGCAGCTTCTAGAGAGAGCTCTGTAGGGGAAGAAAGGTGCTGGGGAGGGTTCTGGGTGGATCTGAGCTTTCAGGATCTTGGGGCCCATTGGTCTGACTGGAAACCTGTGGCAGGGCCTTGCTACAATAAACAGCATCAGCAAGTGGGGAATACATTTTCCTGGACAATGCTTAGAGTAGTCTCTAAAGCTTCTCGAATCTAGGACTTCCCCCACCTATACTGCAGTCTTACCTGAAGACAGCATAAGGGGACCACTGGGTTCCTGGGCCTCTCTGAGGTCCTGGGGACAGAAGAGACAGCTAAAGCCTCAAGCATCACAGAAACAGGAGCTAAGCAGTTAGGGGTGGGAGAAGATTCCAATCCTGATCTGCCTCTGAGGCCAGGACATATGCTCCCTCACTGTTGCTCAGGACTTGAAGCACAAAACAATTTGCTGACAGGAACAGAAAGTTTGCTCTGAACTCAGGCAAAGCAGAGCTCGGGGCCTTCAGGAAGGGGTCTGTGTGCACCTCAATTTCACTCAGAGTTTCAGTCTTTCTTCTTTCTTCCTCAGGTGCTGCCTCCCTTTCAGCAGCCTCCTCAGGCTCTGGAGGCGGTCTGCGTCTGAGTGCCCGTGGGGGCACCTGGGCACAGTGGGTCCAGAGAGCCAGTAGTTCTGGGGGTAGCCAGCCAGCTGAGAATAAAGGACAGTAGGATCAGAGTTTGAGATTGGGCTTGGAAGGGCCTCGGTACCCAAATCCCACCACTCTTACTGTGAGTTGGAGTTTGGAACAGCTCAGCAGGGCTCATAGTTGTCTTCTCAGGGGGCTGCACCATGGGCTACAGGATGAAAGACCAGAAACCCAGTTGTGAGGACACCCTTTCTCTGCTTATTTTGACCTTAATCTACCATCTCTCTACGTTCCCTACACCACTAATGCTGATAGAATTTGTAATCTGGGTGCCAGATATGTGCTAGGCAAAATCACTAAAATAAGGTGCAGAATCATGGCTGTACAAATGTGCATCGTGTTTCCTGGGGGATGGAATTGAGTTTTATGTCAAATTTATAGTGCACCTCGCCCCTCCCCCAGCCGTCTTTGTTGGGGGTGGTATGGGGTCTTCAGCACTCACACACTCCCAGCAGTGGGCTTTGGTTTGCAGTTGTTCCTGGAATTTCTCCCTGGAGATCTGGGTCTCCTTGTCCCAGAAAAGTAACTGGCGGCGGCGGCGGCGAGCAGGCGGGCTCTCTGGAGATGGGGGGGCTGGGGGCCTCTTACGCTGAGTGGAAAAGGGAGGTACGGCTATATGCTACTTTTTTTTCCTTTTCTGTCATACAGGTTTCTTAGGAAGGGCTGGGGCAGGAACTTTGGCAGCTCTTGAGTGTATTCATGTATCCAGTACATAGATATTACACTGAATGTTGTTGATTGCTATTGAGCATGACTCATAGTAACCTTATGAACAAAAGGCCTGAAGCCTTTCTATATCGCCATTTACCAAACTTAATAGAGTTTCCAGAAGCATATTGTTTAGGAAGTAGATGTGGCACTGAATGAAATGGATTAGGAAAAGAGCTCCCTTCACTATTTTACATAAAAGCCCCCTGTAGGCTGGCAGTGGCCTGGGTTGAAAGAGCACCCGAGGGAGAGGGGCAAAGGAGGTTTGGAAGGGACACTACTCACCTCAGGACTAGGTGGGGCTGGCAGATGCAGCTCTTGTGGAGGAGTCACTTCTGCAACAACACCTTAGGTTGTGGTTCTGTCCCCTTCACCCTTGCATCCACCCAGGCTAAAAGCTGAAAGGCCCTCAGGCAAGTTGGAAGACAGGATCCAATCTGCAGTAGCAGAAACTTTGAGGGCTTACCACACAGCAGGAACTCACCAGTGAGCAGAGCCCCTGGCTCCCATGGCGTGGGCTTCAGCTCTTCAGGGCCCAACACCTCACTTGGAAGTGGCTCTGCTGCCCCTTCAACTCTGAAGGGAAATGAACAAGAGAAATTAGGACACCCACCCACAGCACTGATGCCCCCATTGCCCTGGAGGTGGGGGGTCCTGTCCTTACTGTACAGGAGCTGGAGGTGAAAGCGGGGGCACTGGGGCTTCACCCTCCGGGGCTCTGGGTTCTTCCTTGGACACTGCAAAAAGAGGACCAGAGCTTAGAAGGCAAAAGAGATAGGAACACCACCCAGTTCCAGACTGTTCTTGCTGGGGGCCTGACCATCTGGTGCTGGGCGGGCTCTGCGCTCCCGAAGAGGCCTGGCATGGCGACGCTCCTCTAACAAGATTGCTTCATCTTCCTCGGCCATCAGCAGGTCAAGGTCTTGGCGGCTGACCTCTGGAAGGTCCTGTTCACCCTAGTGAGAGAATAGCAAAGAAAGGGTACTCGTATCTCATTTCTGAAAAGGCAAATGGGTCTAGGAGAGTGTACAGAGAAGGCAGAACTCTGGGGATTGGGCTGTCAAGCAGGTTTGAAACATGGGTCCTTATCTGTAAAATGGGAATAAAGATTCTGACTTCATAAGATATTTGTGGGGCAGTAATAGGTTAACATGCAGGGGACCACTTACCTCTATTTGTAGCATGTGTATGGGCTCCGCTTCCTGGAGGGTGATGGCCTCAGGAGAGAGCACAGTGCTTGGCATCCTGTCTGGAGGATCAGGGGAGTCACACTAACCTCCCTGTTCCTTTCCAAGACCCAAGACCCATACAGTGAGGCAAAGTACAGACTGTGGCGTCATGTCAACTTATTTTCTAGTCAAGTCCATGCTAATCCCTAGCAGTCTGGCCATGAGTCAGTGTTTAATCACTATTAGCCTCGTTTTCCTTTTCTGTAAAGTGAGAATAATTTTTTTACTTCATTGAGACACCTGTGAGACAGTTTATACACATAAAGTCCCTTTTGGGGCCAGACTTCAGCTCTTGGGCCTCCATATATCTCCTACCAGAAAGGTTCTCTGTGCTCACCTGGCTTCTTGGGCTCTGTAGTGACCTCAGGGGGTATCGCCTCAACAATCCTCTCTGGGGTCACACCCTCTAAGAGATGTCGAATCTTCGGGAAGGAATTGGGGACAAAAGAAAGAATTCAGCATCAGCCCCCTGCTATTCTACCTTCACAGCTTTAGATACCCAAATCAAAACCAAACTTGGCTGCTGACTTACCGTGATCCTATAGGACAGAGTAGGGAGATCTGGTGGCATAGGCTATAGGGAATTGGGCTTTTAACCCAAAAGTGGTGCCCCTCTGATGGTTCAAATCCACTAGAGGCTCTAAAGGAGAAAGACAGGCTCTCTCTTCCTGTATGGTTTATAGCCTCTCAAAAACCCACTAGAGTGTTAGCGATAAGTCAGTTCCACCTCGACAGTGAGTGAATGGAGAATAGAGTAAAATGGCACTGCAGAGTTTCTAGGACTATAGTCATTACAGGAAAAGTGTCACATCTTTCTCCCATGCATCAGCTATTGGGTTCAAACTACTGACCTTTTGATGAGTAGTCAACTGTGTAAACATTGCACAACCAGGGCTCCTTGATCTTCAGACAATGGAAGTACCCTTTTATGTCTAGCTCTCATTGTCTTAACATCAGTCTGTAGTGATCCCATGCCTCATCTCTCTTGCCATTCCTCTCCACCACATCACCTGGCTTTGGTTTTATCTATGCAACATGCATTGCACCCTATGTTCTTTATCATGAACAGAGGTGAAGAGATTCTTGACCTTATCAAGCCTATGCCAGGGAATACATTTGTATATGATCCCAACAAGTTGTTTGCTGTCAAGCCAGGACTCTCTAGTGGGTTTTTCAGAGACTGTAAATCATCTGAGAGGAGCCTGCCCATCTTTCCTTTCATGGAGCAGTGGGTAAATTAAAGCAGTTCAACTCCTTACTACTAGGCCATCAGAACTCCAACAAGAGTCAACAAAAGGTAAAAACACAGTTCTAAAAATGCATGGAGTTCCAGAACAGCTCTTCTAATTATGGAGATAAAAGGCATGAAAAGGGGTGTGAGTCAGGTCTATCAAGGACATGACTAGAAGAGCATGAGGATCTTGGCCAGGAAAGGAGCTGCCTCCTATGGAGAGAGCATCCTGGCAGGATGCCTGAGTGAGTAAATGCTAGAGGTTCTGCCTGTACCAGCCCAGGATTTCCTCTGGGGGGAGATCTATGGCAAGGCCCCCCTCCTCCTAACTCATTGTCTGGCACAGGGATAACCCTCCTGCACTGTCACTTCATGAGTTTGAGGTGTACCAGGGTCTACCTGAGGGATCTCAAAGGGGCTGGGAAGTTGGGGATCCACAGACATCATTCCAAAAAAGGGATCAGGAGCATCTTCCAGGGACTTCATCACGGCTAGGCGGTTAGGCAGCAGTCTGGGTCTGAAGGGAAGAGTGTGCTATCAAAGAGACGAAAAGATAGGTGGAAGAGGTGAGCTCACCACCAAAGGCTGGGTAGGTTTATTGCTAAGAGGATACTCACAGGTCAGGCTCTACCATATCGATGCGGATATGCATCTGGGCTCTATGCAGGCGTTCTAAGATATGTTGAATGTCCTCTGTGGGCAGGGCAGGGGGTGTCAACACGAGGGGCCTGGCAGCCTCATGTTTCTGTCCCACCTCCCAAACTTCCCCACCTTACCCACAAGGTACTGGCATTGCTGAGAGTAGACTCGGATTACACCCATCTGGAGCTGGGCTGAGAGATACAGGGAGAAGCGGGGCCGCGGGAGGCCAGGCCGTGGGGGCTCCACTCGAACCATCACATATTGAAGGATTTCCTCACTGAGGGAGAAGTTTTCATAATCGAAGATTTCCTACCTCAATGCTCAGCGAGTAATCAGCCCTATAACCCTGCCTACTCCAGCCATTCCCAGACCTATCTAGGAGCCAGCCGTCTCCTCTTCCTCGGGACTTACCAGGTCTTCGCCACATTGACCTGCAGGTATTCCCGCTTCACCAAGCGGCTGCCGCGCGTAGCTGCCAGCCTGGAACAGAATGGGTGGGATGGAGCGTCAGGCGGAGATTCCCAGTCTCCCCAAATCGCTCCCACCAAGGCCCCTCGGTTACCAGATGGTAGAGAAGCAGCCCGTGTGGCGCTGAAGCACAGTGGGGTAGTAAAACATCTTCCCTCCACAGGTTCACTCAACGTCTCCACCACTTCTGTTTCACTCTCAATCCTGATTCTTCAGGGTTCAGGATTTCCCGGGACTGTTGGAGAGAAGGATTTGAACAGTGGGTGACGGGGCAGGGTGGACCCAGAAAGCCAAGCAGATAATTGAGAAGATAAACATAACGCAAATTCGATACACAGAAACAGGGGCGCCCCTCTTCGCGGGTTCTGAGTATGCGCGACCTGTGGGGACTTCGACTTTACTTCTCCTACGCACCCTTCCGGAGTTAAGTTCCAAGTTGGAGATGCTCAGCTCCCCAAGAACTGAGTCTCAGCCCAGGTGCCAAGGGACAGCGGGTGTCCTCTCCAGCAGACCGTTCTCTCCAGCCTTAGGGAAAACTGCAGGCAGCATGTGCACCACAGCTCGGGACTAGTTACTCTTCTTCAAGACTAGATCCCGCAAAGCAGGGACTGTGTGTATCTAACTGCTTTGCATCTCGCTGCTTATTTGAGGGCCACGACCCTCATAACAGCCAATGGGATACAGAAGTCGGAATGGGCGTGAAACAGCCTGCGAGGGTTCGAGGCCTTAGGGGGAGACCGCGAGCCAATCAGAAGAACTTGCGCTCAACCCGGGACTTAGTTAGGTGTCTTCACCAATGCGCTTCCCTTCTCTCCTCTAGTAACAAGCTCCGAGGCGCTACTCCGCTGACCAATGAGCACGCAGTAAATCTCGGAGTCTCTGCAATCGCTAGTCTGGTAACAACAGCAGCGGACTAGCAAGGGAGGTCGGGGTCGTGGAGGGGGCAACCTTCGTAACTTGGTTCGGATTGTCAAGGTAAAAAGTATCTGACCTGAGTTGAGACCCTGCGCTTCCTGCTAAATTCCAACAACAATTGATTGATCTAATGCTGTGCCCAACTGTGGAGATGGATTTAGCAAGGGGGGGGGGGGGGGAGTTACATCGCCCTTGCCTGAAAGCGGAGAACTTGCCTGGCTCTCAAACAGTGAACCCCTTGGTTGAGCCGAATCTGGTTATTCTGAGCTGTGAATGTTTGGACTCAAAGACTATTTTCTAATGGATTCCAGGCATAGTTCTTGGCCTACGAAAACCATTATTATATCTTACTCTTTGGCCTTAAACCAAGTTGTGTAGTTGTACTTAGGGGTATTCTGGTGGCATAATCTATACAATTGTTGTGCTCCTAACCCCAAGACCACACAGCTCTGGCAGTTCAAATTCACCCCAGTTTGAAGGGCTAAAGTTGAGCAATCTCCTCCCATGTGATTTACAGCCTTAGAAACCCCATGGAGGGTCAGCTATGAGTCTGAACCTCTCAAGAGTCGTAGTTGCAAATCCCCTTCATTCCCCTTGCCTCTGCACAGCCTAGAACGGCTTCCCCCACCTTGACTCTAGGGGGCAGTCCGCCTCTGTAGTGCAATTGAGCTGGTCCTATCTTCTTAGTTTCCTTCCCTTTGAAAGCTCTTGAGTCAGGCAATTCTGTCTTTTCCAACCTGTATCTAGCCCATAGCTCAGTAAATAGTCATCAGATAAATAGGTAATTCCTGTACATTTACAGCCACAGCCTGTCAAAGGTGAAAGAAATTTTAGAAATTGCCTAGTTCAAGTCCAGCCTTATAGATTAAGCAACAGAGGCTTATATAACCCCTTTCTTAGCACACAGTAACCTAGTGAGAGTTGGTTGGGAACTCAACTCTGAAATTCCATTGCTCCTAGTACCATCCTGTTCCTCTATACCTGGCTAAGAGTGGGTTCTATTCAATAACTGTTTTCTAAGTGCTCATTTTGAGACATAAAAATAACATGGGGGCACCTGCCTTTAGAGTGGTTGCAACATAGTTTAGAATATAATCAAGCAGCATATGACAATTTATTCACTTGCTGGTCCATTCATTCAACAAGCATGTGCCAATCACTCTACTAGATACTTGGCATGTGGCAAGTTCCTATCCTAATAGAGTAGAAAAGGGGAGATGAGCAGGCAGAGAAATAGAAATATGTCTGGTGCTATGAAGACAAATGAGACAGCATTAAAGAGTAATGACTTTGTTAGGATTCACAGGGAAGACTCTTCTGAAGAGATGACATTTAAACGGACTCAAGTGAAATAACAAATCGGGTCCCTACCTGGAGGAAAAGTTGGAGGTTTGTTGTGCGGGGTTTGTGGTTATTTTTGTGATTTAAGTGGAAGTTTACAGAGCAAATTGATTTTGCATTCAATAGCTCATCCACATTTTGTTTCCTGATAATGTTTACAATCCTCACATTGTATTAGTGCTAGCACTTCCCACTCTTTTTCCGTTTGCCCTTTCCATCTGCCCTTTCCTACCCATTCCTCTCTTTTGAGCCTTATTTCTGGGAAAATGCTACCCTTTGGATCTTGTATGGTTGGTAGTTCTAAGGAATGCTTTCCTACCTGGTGTTACTGATTACCTTATAAGCCTGTCTAGGGTTTAGTTCAATGCTGATTTCTGTTCCAAATTTGGTGACTAAGGGCCATAGTCTGGGCATTCCATTAGACTGTATTAGACCAGTAAGTCTGGTTTTGGTTAAAAATGATTTTAAGTTTGTGTTTTTTCAAAGTTCGAATATTCTACATTTTTCTCCCACTCTTATCAGGATTCTACTGTGATCCCTTTCAGAGCAGTCTGCAATGGTAGCCACGTACTAGAGCGTTCTGGTTTCAGATCATGGGCACTGAATGAAATTCATGTGGTCCATTAATTTTTTTGAATTAATAGTCTTTGATTTTTCCTTACTCTTCTTCACTCCAGATGGGGAGAGACCAATAGCACTACCTTACATGACCACTTGCAGGCTTCTGTGACTTCAGCTGCTAGCCTTTGTGGATTATGCCAGTTAACTGTGATGTCTCCTCAGACTACAACGAAATTTTTTAGACAAAAGAAATAGCAAATACAAAGGACATAAGGCTGAAATGTGTTTGATAGGTTTAAGGAGCCTGGAGCAAAGGGACTGGGGTGGGGAGAAGAATGACAAGGTACAAGATTATAGAGGAAGATGGGGACCATATTACAAAGACCCTAGAAGTCCCTGTAAAGATTGAGCTTTTACTTGGAGTTAGGAGCCAAAGAAGGACTTTAAACAGTTATAACATGATCATATTTATAAGTTAAAAGGACTCTGCTTTGTTGAGAATAAGCTGAAGGTAACTAGACTGGAAGCAAGGAGACTAATTTTGGGTTAGATCTAAGAAGTAATGGAGGTTTGCTCCACCAGTGTTGGTGGAAGAAGCAGAGAAGTGCCATGTACTGGATATGTTTTTGAAGGAATAATGATGGATCTCTTGATGGATTTATGTGGTTTATGAGAGAAAATGGAAGTCAAAGAGATAACTGAGGATACAAAGTTCAAAATGGGTTTCAGCAAACTGAGGGCACAACAAAGTTTCTGCCCTAAAGGCACTTGGAACCTGATTTCTTCACATGCCTGTTTAGGATCTCAGCCTCTTAGAAAGGTGATGCACAAGATAGAAGAAAGCTCTCAGAGGCCAAGAGGCTAAAAGGCAGTTTTTCAAAGGAGAAAGCAAGAAAAAGATCTTTGGAGAATCTGGGTATTTGATCATGAAGGTCTAAAACACTTAAGGTCTAAAAGAGCAACAAGATAGAAAGGAATCTGGGAAGCCAAACTGGTGTCATGAGTAGAAAAGAGGAAGCCGGAGGATGTGGCAGTCAAGTTAAGTGGTGACTTGAGTCTGCACTCAACCTGGTGGAAGTGAATGGACAGAGAATTTGGGTGACAAGTAGCCTGATAAAGGAAGAATTGCCAGTTTAGTGGCAGAAGACAAAAGGTAAGAAGGGTGTTAAACGCTCTGAAGCCTCTAAATTCAGTGAACAGGTATTGGTGACATGGTAGCTATTATACTCACCTGTCTTTTGGTCCCCCCCCCCCAAATAATAATTTTTATTTGTAGTTCTTTAAAGTCTGAATTTTAAACAGATTCTTGAACTGGTAGCTCATAGCCATTAGCTCGTTCAACTTTAGCACCTGTCTCATCTCCAGTGGCTTTTCCAAAGCTCCCACCTTCACCATGAAGCTCCATGAGTTTGCCCAATTCAAACCTGGGCTTCTTGAGCATTTTTACTTTCCTAACAAATACATAAATAGATTGGCAAGCCTTTTCTATGTCTTTCCCAGTGCTGTCTGGAGTCAATTTATTGACCACTTCTTTCATTTGTCTGCACCTCTTGGGTCATGATTTCCGTAATTTTCTTCCGGATTTGGCGGACTTGTTGGTACTGAGCATAAGATGTCTTCCAAATCTGATTGTTGCATTTTTTTTGTAAAACTAACACAAACCAGACGAAGCAAAAAAACCATCGGTAGTTTTGACATCAACATGCGCTTCAATCACGGTTTGTCATTTTTTGACTGTGGAGCACATTTTGTCATGGGTTAAGATCCATGCCATGGAAGTTGGTGAGGCAGTTTTTGCTTTGAACATCCTCAGTAATTAATTTGAATTTTCTAAATTCAACATTATCATTTTGCAGATCATCAAGGCTCACTTCAAAAACATGACCCTTGAGTCCATCAGATGCAGTTTCGGTTCCTTCAGTCCTTGTGACTAATGTCTTCCCAGTATTTCTTATACTGAACATTGCTGATGCCTTTACATCATACCGATCTTTCATAGAAAATGGATCAACCACTTTCTTCTTGGCTCCTTTTTCTGCCACCTTTTGTAAGGCGCTTGTTCTTGTTGACCGCCATGGTGGTTCTGAGAGCGCGAAAAGGCTACTCACCTGTCTTTCGAAGGCCTTGGACAGGATAAAGAATCCAGCTTGGGAGTAACCTTAAACTGAGGTGACAGAACACTCATGCTATGAGGCAGTGCTAAGAGGGTGTGCTCAGCACCCCATCTTTCCCCACAGAAGACAGATACATGAGGTTTTAGTAACCTTTTCCTCTGATTTCTTCCACCTTCTCAAATTCATAGTTTCAGATTAACCTCAAGTGTCTCCTCTTTCCCTTTGAAACTTCATTCCAACTGCAGGCATGTCTTTGAAGCCTTAGCCAGAGGCCTCTAGGAAAGAACAGCAGTGCACAAATTTTTGTCTATGATTAAGTGGCTAAGGTCCAGTTGTCTTAGTGTCCCTCTTGGTGACTTATATCTGACCCCTCTGATTCTGGTTGTCTAAAAGGTCCAGAGAGTGCTGTCTAGCTTTCATCTTTGCTATATCATACTATTCTTACATGGACTCATAAGCCTCCTCTCAACAAATCAGATACTAAAATTCCTCTTTCAAGAAAAGTTTATTTAAAACATGAAAACAAACAGCCTAGGAGGCAGGGACACCAAAACATTTTATAAAGTGCTTGGCTTTACAACTGAGATGAGAAGAGGGGAAAAAATCTGAGTTTGAGCCATTTGTATTTTCCCAAGTCTTAGAGATCAGAATATTATTGCAATTTAAAAAAAAAAAAGAAAAGGCAAAAGAACGGGGTTGTAAAATCATCTCTGGGTTTCCTACCACCCAGAAAGCATGAAGAGTTCAAGGGGAAAATTGTCACATACAATCACTCATAATTAACACAGAAGAAGGCAAGTTACTAGTGTGGAGAATGGCCTTATTTAAAGGAGTGGAGAGGAAAAGAGGTGAGGAGAGAAGGGGCTCCCCCAGGCTCTGCATCAGGGGCGGAGAGGCTGTCTGTTCCTCTAGAGTCCTTTCCAGAAAATGTCGGGCAAAGGCCTGCTCCATCTGTACAGGAAGAGAGGGGCATGAGACCATCAGTGAGTGTAGCCAGGCAGACACTGCTTCTAATAGCTACCTCCCTTCTGGGAAACCACATACCCCACCCAATCCCAACACCACTGGCTGTGACAAACTAATCCACCTTGCTCTGTACTTACCTTTACTGTAATTAGATTCTGTGAGGTGTGGTTAGGGCCAGGACTCTCTTCCCAAAAACTTAGTGTTACCTGGAACTTGGGTGGGGGGCCCAGTCCCTGCAAGTACCGAGCCAAGTCTGAAAGAGAGTCAAGAGTTGGAAGAAAGAGAAGAGAGTGGGAAACAGGAAGGAAGAATCTGTGCTGGTATAAAAGTGGTATCAATCGAGCAACTGGGACACCAGCCAGCCAGCCAGCTGGAGCAGCTGTGGGTGGTTAGGTTACTGTGTTAAGCCAAGAAGAATGCTAAGCACCAAGCAGCTACTCATTCATGTGCAAACAGGAAAAGGTGCCCCTTTCTCAAAGTAAGGCATGTTTGATGTTGTTACAACTAATAGTGATCCTATGCACAATGGCTCTGAACCCTGCCCTATCCTGAGCCAATCTTACTATCCCTGACACACCTACCCCATTACTCTAGTTACTGTCAATCCATCTCGTTCAGGGTCTCACTTTCCTGTGTTGACTCTCCACTCTTACAAGCATGATGTCCTCCAAGTACTGGTCCCTCGTAGCCACATGCCCAAAGTATGTGAGATGGAGTTTCAAAATCCTTGCCTCCAAGAAGCAACTTGGTTTCACGTTCTCCAGGACAGACCTATTTGTTCTCATGCAGTCCATGGTATGTTCAAGACTCTTCTCCAGCAACATAACTCTAAGGCATCAATTCTTCTTCTGTTATCATTGATCATTGTCCAGTTCTCTGATGGATAATAAGTAATTGCAAAGTCCATGGCCTAGATCAGGTGTACCTTAGTCTTTAGACTAACATTGTAGATCTTTAGCACCCTGGAGAGGTCCCTGACAAGAGATTTTCTGAATGCAGTTCGTCTCTTGATTTCCTAACTTCTGGCGCCAAGACTGTTGATTATGAAGCCCAGCAAACTGTAATTCTTATCAACTTTAATCTCTTCACCGTTTATCATGATGTTTCCAAATGGCCCAGTGGTGAAAATCTTTGGTTTTTTAAGGGTGAGTTTCAATCCACATTGAAGAATAGTCCTTGACCTTCTGTAGCAAATGCTTCAGGTCCTCCTCAGTTTTTGAAAGCAAGGTTTTATCATCTGCTGTAGCAAATGCTTCAGGTACTCCTCAGTTTTAGAAAGAAAGGTTTTATCATCTGCATAATGCAGGCTACTGATGAGTCTTCCTCCAATCCTGATGCCACATTCCTCCTCATAAAGCCCAGCTTCTCAAATGGTCTGTTCAGCATATAGGCTGAAAAGGTATGGAGAAAGGAGGCATCTCTGACGCACTCCTTTTTTGATCTTGAACCATGCAGTGTTTCCTTATTATGTTCTGAAGACTGCTTCCTGGTCCAAGTATAGGTTTCACATGAGCATCGTCAAGTGTTCTGGGATTATTATCCTGAAAAGCGACCCTTAGCAGGGTTAGAGTCCTCATAGGCCAAAGTCTTGGCTACTAAACCACCTGTGTCCATGCCTTTGTTGCTGCTAACTTGCCCTCCCCAATGCTAGGTTACACATGCCCCTTGGAACATCTACACTGATCACCTATACTCATGATTCCACTCCCACAGTCAGTTTTAGTGCACACTGGAGGTGGGAACTGGAACTCCAAGAGCAGGTGGGTGAGAAGGCAACCTTAGTGGTTTGATTCCTAGAGGTGAGAACAGGGTGGCACCCAGGCCAGTGTGTGGTATATGCCAACTCTTCTGTGGATGTTTGTGTGTGCCCATGTACATGCAGGAGAGGGCCAGGAGCTCCCTGCGGACTTGTCTGTGCACTTTCACACACGTAAGCCTCAGTGCAATGGTGCTCCCGGAGATGTGATACTTAAGTATACTTAGGCTGTACTCAACTTGAACCTCATTTTTCATAGCCTTGCCCAGAAATGAGAGGCAGCAGGCAGCTAGTCTGGTCATACAGGGGGTATGCACTGCACAAGTTCAGGGGTGCCATGCACAGGTTAGGATGGAGGACAGTGTGGCAAGGCTATAGGGAATACCGGAAGGGGAGGGGAGGAGCTCAGGTGCTCAACTGAACGAACCTCACCTCTGCAGAAGGAGGCTGTTTTGAAGAGTCCCATGCACTCGTTGCTGGGCAGAAGATGTGGGCCTGGACCAGGGGGTGTCTGGGGTGCATCCCAGGAGATAGGGATCGGGCAGAGGCGCTGCACATAAAGGCCGTCAGAGTTGCTGGCCACTAGGATGCCCCTCTCGAGCTGGCTCAGCAGGCGCCGTGTGGGCTCCAGGGGGTCCGGTATGGGGAAAACGACTTGCTCTATGTTGCTCCGGGAGCCTGAGGGCTCGGCCACAAGACGGAAGTCCGGGCTGTGCACATGGGTCTCCCCGACCACACGTCCATTGTAGATAAAAGTAAGCAGTAGTGAGAAGTCTGTGGACAGAGAACGGCCCAGCTGCACTTGGTGCTGGGGAAGCTCACAAGCAGCAGCACTGTCTCTCCCCATCCCCCTGGTCAACACTAGACTTTGGGAAAATGAAATGGAGCTCCTTACAAATCTAAAGTCTTGGGGGAGCTCTGGTGGCCTAGTGGCAAGGAGCTGCAACTACAATCCCAGAGGCACACGGTTCAAATCCACCAGATGCTCTGCCGGGAAAAGGAGGGACAATCTCCTCCTGTACCAGTCAGATCTGATTTGACGGTACACTCACACAAAAATAAAACAAACAAACAAAAAACCCCAAATCTAAAGTCTTCATTTTACTCATGAGTAACTAAGGCTCAGAGGACGACAAACAGAAACAGGGGAGCACAAAGAGGGTAATGGCACTGAAGCCACAGCTGCACCTGCTGAGATTAGAAAAGCTGTCCTCCCTCCCTTTGCTTTACTCTCCATCTCTGGTGTCATCTGCTCCTGACAGGCCTTCCTCTTCACTGGTGACAGTTAATAAAGTGAATCACTTTAAGGGCTTGGGAGCTTAATGTCCAGGATCTTGAAATTTATGAGAAGAAGATTAGGCCTCCATTTAAACTAAAGAAGTGAATGTCTCAAGGTGGGACTTTAAGGAACAGGGTATGCAAGTTGCCATTTTGGAGGGGCAAGCTGTTTAGAGGATGACCAAACAGCTCCTGGAATTTTCACTGACAAGTCTATGGTGAGTTCAGCTGGCTGTCAATCTGATAGGTTAGACAATGAAGAATAGTCAGGAAGAAAACCAGATGGGAACAGTCAGCAGAAAAAAGTCAGAAACTCCAAGTACCTGAGTCTGGCGGGAGCAAATACTCCTGATCTCCTTGCGAGGGGGCCTCAGTAGTGTCTGCTCCTGGAAGAAAGGCGAAGGCACAGGTCATTTAGAGTGAGACTAGGTGTGTAGGACCAGAGATGGAGGAGGAGTTGGGCAGAGGGATGATACAAGAGGCAGGGGAGATGGTACCTTCCTGAGGCTCAGGGCTGTCATTGCTATTGCTGCTGCTGCTGCTACTTCCAGTGTCTGAATGGTCTGCTCCCTCATTGGCTCCACATTCCTATCAACACAAGTATCTGTCATTGGCCTGCCTCTTCCTGTCAGTGTGCCCTCAGACCTACTCAGTCCCTTCCATTCTCACGTTACTGAACGACTCCAGGAACAAGATGGGGGTGAGTGCAGATCTCTTCATGGTGCCTTCATCTTCCTTCATTTCAGATGATATGGAACTGTGGTGTCGCTTTAATGGTGATTTCTGGGTGCCTGACTGGGCTGTGGAACACTCTTGAGTTAAAAGAGAAGGATCAGTGTCATTAGCAGGAGAGAGTGTAAGAAAGTATGAGGCAGGGAAGGATGTGCAGAACTGGGAAGGGATCCTCAGGGCAGGGAAAGCACAGCAAGAATGAGAAGCCTGGAGGGAGGCCCAGCAGCTTCCAAGGAAGTGGACTGATTCTAGGAATAGTTAAGCTAAGGGCTTACCTGGGGGCAGTAACTGATACACCTTAAAGGGCTCAGCACCATCCATGTGGCTTCTCTCAGGAACCTCCTTAAATTCAGAACTCTTATTGAGGGCACAGCGCAGGCGAGTCTTCCAGGCAGCAGGGCCTTCAGGGTCTCCCTCCTTGTACTTCCCTTTGAAGATGGCCCATGCCTAGGAAAGGGAAGCAGTAATTACCAGGATACCTGTTAGAGATCCCAACAGCCTCTGCTGTTGCCATCTTGAAATTATCAGTAAAATTTGGGCAAAAACAAGCATTTTCATTGTGCACTGGGCAAAAAACTATATAGCTGGCTCTACCCTCTAATTTCCTTTATCTGAGATCTGGACAGACACAACCCTGCAGGGGAAGAGCAGCTATAATATACACTCAGCTATGTATACTCAGAAGGGAACCCATTCACCATTCAGGCCCAGTCACCTTGAAAAAGGCAGCATCTTGGTCCTCCCGGAAGTCCTGCTTGCCTGCATGCTTCCAGGGAATTCGGAACATGGTCTTATCTTTATCATCCCAGCATACCCCTGGGAACTTCCCGCTTTCCACCTGCTCCACCACCCAGCTCCGGAGCTTTCGAGTGCAGCGTGCCCTGACTGCCGCCATCCTGGAGGAGGAGAACAGTGGCAAACATCAGCAGAACTGACCCTTGAAGCGGAAACAGCTGAGACCCTGGCCCCTGGGCCTGACTCTGCCAACGGCTCCCAGGGGGCTCCCAGGGACCTCCTCATAATTCAGCCGTCTTCTCATGGCTCTGGCACATCTCAACATTTTCTGGAGGAGGCCTGTTTTGTTCCTGCCATCACCAGTAATTACAAAGTAAACATTCCTTTTAACATCCCAGGCTGAGAAGGAAATGTTGGATACTGATTTGAGTTTTAAGACTTTCCAGGACAGAAGATACCCATCGTGTTTTCATCCGTGAAAGCGGTGCTGTCTAGATACACAAGCACTAGCAGAGGCAGCAGCTGCTTTGGGGATGCCCTCTCAACTCTCTTCATCATAACCCCTACCACCTTTGATTCCACCCTTTACCCTGCTTTGACTGCCCTAGGGACAGAGAGGGGTGGAGTCACAGAGGAAATGGGCAGGGCTAGAAAGCAAGAAAAACAAAAGCAGGGTTAACAGAGATAGGGAGCCACAAGCCTTCCTCCCAAAACAATCCTTCCACACTGGTCATCTCTCCTGTGCCAGCAGGGCCTGGGATGCTGGCCCCTGGTCAATCTTGCCACAGGCCAAACCTGCTTCCCAGCTCACAGCCCTTCTGCCAAATCCTCAGCCTATAGAGGGGTGCAGCAAAAAGGTCCCAGACCACCGCAATCTGGCAGGGCTTCCCACCCCAGGCTCTAGGCTGATGTTGACCCTTGGCAGATCTTACCTGAGCTGACTGTGCAGGCTGTCCAAGCACTCAGCAACACTCAGCTCAGCTTTCTTGTGGGCAGTTTCCTGCTATCTCTCGGCTCCTCCTACAGTCCCCACCCTAAGTTTCACTTCTCCTCCCTTGAGGGCCTGTTCCTAGAAATCACGTGGTCTCTGTTGCGAGGCGACATTCTGCCACCAGAGGGCGGCAGCCTCCAGAAATCTGTCGGCAGCAGGAAGTGTTTGGAGGGGCGGCTAAGGGAGTCACGAGTAGGTGGGCTCTTGTCTGGCTCATCCCTCTTCCTCAGACACTCAATGCCTGGGCCCCTGACCTCTTTTGCTGGCCTGGGGCCTTTGCATTGCTGTGTTGTCTGTGCATCTGTACTCCCTAGAGTGCTCACTTGGTACATATTAAACTCAAAGATAAGGTGAATTGGATGAAAAAAAAGGGGGAAGCAGGAAGAGAGGTAGCTCAGGCTGGTTGGCTGGATGTGAAAGGCCTCCCTGCCCATCCACAATGGCAGTTCTTTCCTAGCCCCTTCATCCAGGGAAGATCTGATGGGAGGCTGCAGGGAGACCTTTTGGCAAAGCTCTATTCAACCCCTTTTTTCCCTGGTGCCCCAGGTGGTGGGGCCAGGAATAAGGACCACCAAGAAGTCTGGGCAAGCAGATGCCTCTTTATTGGTGCTGGAGCTGTTCCTGGGGCAGCTGGGCTCTCCTCAGGGCCGATGCCCTCATCTACTTTCTCCTGCGAGGGATACTCTGTCCCAAGGGCACCTCTTCTGTCAGCTTCTGCAGGGGGAGAAAGAAAATAATCCCAGAGGCCTGCCCTCAGTCACAGAGGGTGGGATTCGAGGTGAGACTGTGTGAAGACTTTACCTGGAACAGGCGGGCACGGTAGGCAGGGGCATCCTCTCCAGCCAGCGGCTGGGGACGCACATGCAGATAGCGCTCCATTGCAGTCTCCAGTTCCTCCACCTCATACAAGGTAGCCGGGTCCAGTGAGTGGGCATTGATGAGGCTCACTAGATACTCCTTGTAGTGTGCCCTGGAGAGACGAGAAAGCAAAATATTGACTTTATTGGGTTAATATTTAGTAAGTGTGCCTAGCACTTTCCTGGGCATGGGGATAGTCAGCCGAGTAAGACAGATACCTTTAGCCAGCTGCACACCAGTGCATGCTGCCTGCCACTACCTATCATACCTCTGCCCATAGAACCCCTTATTCCCATTCCCTTCAGGACCCACTGCTCCCACAGACCTTCTTTACTGCCTGGGCATACCTTCCCACTCCTACTCTCCTCCCCAACACCAAGCTCCATGCCCTGCCTGGCACTCACTGGCAGAGGCCGGCATAGCCAGCTGGGGTCTCCTTGCCACATGCTTCATCCTTGAGCCCATTGGGAACCTCTTTCTGCTCCATCACTCGGCAGCCACCTAAGGGTAAGGAAAAGGGACTGACTTGATGGGAAATGGTCAATAAACCTAAAGGCTCCAAATCGGAGACATCCAGGCAGGCATGAGATGGCCTCCAGGGAGAGGTGGTATTGGGCTTAGCAATGCCATCAGCTGCAAACCAACTATGATGCAGAAGTAAGGACCCTGTTCACCTTGCTTTCCATTCAAACAGACTTAACCCATAATCACAACTCCTCTCAAAAACAGATCTTTTTGTTGTTATTTAGCCCTTGGATGGTAAACTTATTCCATAAGGGCCTTATCCTCCTGACCTTTCTGTAGCCCTCATGGAACTGAAAACAGTGCTCTACAACTGGCAGGTTTCGTTAAGTACTAATTGAGTTAATGAATAAATCATCATTTGGGAATGGGAAAAAGAATTAGTATTGAGGACCTCATAGATGTCAAGTTCTTTAATGATGTATAAAAGTTTAGATGAAAGGTGACTATTACCCCCATTTTATAGAGGACAAATCAAGCCCTATGAATATCAATTAACTTGCTTGACGATACAAAACAAGTGAGCAAAGGACAGGCTTTGAGGCCAGGTCTAGTTCCAGACGCAAGCTCCTCACACAACAGGAGCCTGCCATACCAGCTTCCCTCCCCAAAAGCTTAGCAGTCACTCACCTCCAGGAACTGCCCTGGCCCCAGCTGGAGGTTCTGTATTAAACATCACATTATTGTCCTGAGAAGGAACAAAGAGATAGATGCGCATTCTGCCCTCGATGCCAGCACCTAGGTAGGTTTCCCAGCTTTTTCCTTCCTGTTGTTTTTATGTGCCATTGAGTAGCCTGTGACAAATAGCGATCCTATGTACAACAGCTCTGAAGCCTGCCATGTCCTGAGCTAGTCTCACTGACTTCAACACACCTACCCTTATCGCCCCAGTTACTGTATCAATCCATCTTGTCTGGGGTCATCTCCTGTGCTGTCCTTCAACCCTCCTGAGCATGTCTTTCTCTAAGGACTGGTCCCTTCTGGCCACATGCCCAAAGTACGTGAGATGGAGCTTCAAAATCCCAGCCTCTAAGGAGAAACTTGGTTTAGCCCTCTCCAAGATAGATTTGTTTTCTTGGTGGTCCATGGTATGTTCAATACTCTTCTCCACCACCACAACTCAAAGCCATTGATTCTTCTTCTGTCATCTTTAGTCATTATCCAGCTAGCTCTCTGATGCATAGCAAGTAATTGAAAAGACCATGGCCTAGAACAGGCACCTTAGTCTCTAGACTAACATCATTGATTCTCAGTACTCTGGAGAGGTCCCTGATAGCAGATTTTCCCAGCGCAGTTTTGATTTCCTGACTGCTGATGCCAAGAGTGTTGAGTGTGGAGGCAAGCAAGCTATAACTGTTAACACCCTCAATCTCTTCTCCATCTATCATTGTGCTGCCAATTGGCCCCCACCCTATAACTTGCCCCCATCCCCTAGAAAATCTATAAAGCCAACTAGCGTAGCTGTTCCTGACCTGTAGCAGCTTCTGAAGCCGGAGAGCAGCCCAGTCACGCAAGTAAAAGAGGCAATCTCGAGGGTGGTGGCCATGCAGGGACTTTTTCACTCGGCAGTTAGGGTCTGGACATTTCTGGAGGAAACCCAGATGAGAGATGGGGAAGTTGCAGATTATCAGGGCCTCAACCTTTGAGAAACCCCTACATATCTCAGGCAGGTAGTAATGGAAACTTTGGGAGGTCTGGTGCAAGCATGGCATGGGAAGGGTCCAGAGAGCAGTGCTTTACACACCAATGACCGCTTCTCATCTGAGTTGTTCCACAATTGTCTCTGTCCTTCCAACCCAGTGACAGTCTCCCACCCTCCAGTCCCACCTCCTTTCTGGGCTCACATTCTTGGCGTAAAAGGCATTGTAGCAGCCACTGCAGAACTGATGGCGGCACTGGGTGCAGTGAAAGTGCATGCAGCCTCCTCGGGCCAGTGCATAGGAGAACTTGCACTTGGGGCAGTCTGCAAGGGACAGGAGGTCAGGAAGGGGCCTGCCACTGCTCCTGTAGGCTCTTGAGAGCTGCAGGTGGGACAGACGACTGGCAAACAGGACAAGGAGGCAGCCTTACCAATTCCATTTTCCTGAAGATACATGGCCAGGCCTTGAGCTTGGTATTCTGGGTCATTGTTTCGTTTCCAATTCTGGAAATCCTCACAGCTCCGGCCTCGGTGCTGCTCCTCCCACTGTGAGAAGGAACATGTGGACATTCAGCCCCAGGTTCCAGCCCTTCTTAATGGCCCTTCCAGCAGAACCAGCTTAGTTATATCACCATCATACACTATTTGCTTAAATCCAAAACCAAGGACTTGTACTAGATTCTTTCATTTCCTCAGACACTCCATATCCGTCAGCAAGCCTGGCTGTTCTCTCACCCAAACTGGTGTCAATCCTGCCCCTCTGTTCATTCCCCTTGCTACCATTTTATTCCCTCCTTGCCATTATCAGGTCTTGCCTAAATCATAAATCTCCTGGCTTTTACTCCTATTCTCAGTCCTGTATCCCCAGAGTCCATTCTCTACACTGCAGCCAAAATGGTTTTAAAAATGAAGCCACAGTTTCAGTGATAATACTGATATTGTACTTTTGAGGTTTAGTGGTGGGGTCTCAGGTGTTAATTTATTCTTGGATTTTTTATTGTTGTTATGTGCCATCAAGTCACCTGAGACTCACATTATTATTATGCCATGAACATTGTGTTTTGAAATATTGATACATGGCTTTGTATTGAACAGGAAGCCATTTAAAAGTAAATAACATCACCTCTTGCTTAGCCTTAGAAGGAAGATAAAAATATCTTCCTTCTTGGCCTCGACCTGGCAGCTAGCTCCCTCTTGATCTCCTGCTACCCTCACCCTTGCTCTGGAGGCATGCAGCACTTATTTTTTTACTTTGTGCTTCTCAAGTGTTATTCTTTCTCTCCCAAATACTGTTGGCATGGCTAGCTTTTTTTAAAAAAAAATTTTTTTTATTATTACTTTCAATGAAAATTTACAGAGACTTTGATTTCCATTCATTCATTGTTGCACTTTTCTCCCTGCCCACACCTCCCCCCGAGTATACTCTTCTCTTTGAAAAGTAAAAGAAAAATCCTTTCATTGTTTTACAATCCCTCCCCCCCAGGTCCACTTCACTATGCAGCCTTCGTTCTGGACTCCTGTCATAACAAAAATACCTAATCACATATCCCTTTTAAACAGTTTTCTTCCTCATCTGTTTCAATGCAGTATACACTACTGAACTCATCTTTCTCAGTCTCCCCCCAACCCCGATGTCAGTCCTGTTTTACAACAGTGGCACCATGCAGTATTTGTCCTTTTGTGACTGAGATATTCACTCAGCATAATGTCCTCCAGGGTCACCCATTTTGAATATTTTATGAGTTCCTTCTTTTTTAATGCAGCGTAATATTTCATTGTGTGACTATACCATAGCTTCTCTATCCAATTGTTTGTTGACGGGCACTTGGGTTGTTTCCAACTCCTTGCTATTGTGAATAAAACCACCATAAACATGGGTGTGCAGGCTGGCTTCTTCCTAACCTTCACCCTTGAGCCTGAGTGAAATAATTTCAGAGATCTACCTGGCATCTCTATCCTAAACAGGTCCATTTTGTTATTTCTCATCTTAGATTTTTATTTTTTCTCCTCACAGAACTTTTTTGTTGTTGTTGTGTAACATCAAATCGGATGTGACGGGCATAGGAGGAGATTGCCCCTCCTTCTCTAGCAGAGCATCTTGTGGATTTGAACTGTGTACCTTTGGAATTGCAGTACAGCTTCTTTCCACTAGGCCACCAGAGCTCCGTTCACAGAAATTTTAACCAGATAGAATTACATCCTGTCCTCTTCCTTTCCTCTCTCCTTCCCTTCCTACCACTCTTCCTTTGTCTAGCTGCTTGCCTGGCTAGTCAGTAAGCTGAGTTCAAAGGTTCTATCCATTTTGTTCTCTAATTTTCCTCCAGAGTCCAATAGTACCTAGCAGCAGCTCAGCAAATATTTCTGAAAGATTGTATATTCTCTCACCTGGCGTTTGCAGCGTACACAGAAGGTCTGGTGACACTGAGGACATGTTGCTTCCAGCTGTTCCCGCTCATATATGAAGCCAAAGGAGCACTGTGAATACAAGAGCATAAAAATATATAAGGCCTGATCTTTAACCTTCTATTAACCCTTCAGTCAGCTCCTCTGGCCAGGCCACCTACCTGAGCACACCACAAGAACTTGGGGTCCCTCATCAGCACACCCTCAGTCAGCTTCTTATGGAACAATGCATAGGCATCTGGCTCGAGACTCTCTCTAAGCTGGTAAAGAACACATGAGTTATGGGAGGGGCGAGTTCCTGTCTAAAGCCCAGAACATCTCAAGCCCCAGGGGCTATAGTACCTGAATGTCAAGGGTAGAGAAGTAGCTAAGTAATTGTGTGTCATCAGTGAGGTCAGGGCGACCGCAGGCGGGGCACACCATGTCCGTGATGTGCTTCTCCTTCAGAGCAATGGTGAAATGCTGGCGGAAGCAGTCAGGACAAATGGTGCACTCACAGGAAGTCAGGGCCTGCATCTAGATTTGAGAGATAGGAGGAAACTGGGAGGTCAGATGTCACAGGTAACAGGCTCAGAAAGAAGCAGCAGCTATGTGTCTACTGAGACACCAGGCCCTGAATAACAACTGGGCAGGGTGAGCAACCTCAGATCCCAATAGGTGGTAGGCAGACAACCAAAGGAAGGAAGACAGGTGGAGGAACACAGGCAACAGTGAGACTCAAAGCAGATAGAGTGCATGTACTACTTCTAAAGATACTCACATTCAGTTAAAACCAAACTTAGAAACAACATTCTTGAAATAATAAAACTACAGAGTTAAAGAAAAGGTAAGTGGTAGCCAGGGAACTGGGTAAATAAAAAATACTTTAAAGGGTAGCATGAGAGCATTCCTAATCTATGTTGACTGCAGTGATGTTCACATGAAGCTATACATGGGATAAAAGTGCACAAGAACAAGAACAAATAAATGCATATAAACAATGGTGAAAACTGAACAAAGTCGGCAATCTAGTTACTGCTGTAACATCAGCATCTTTGTCTTGATGCTATATTATAATTGTCAATATAAAAGGAAGCTGGGAGAAGATTAAATGGAATTTTGCAGTTTTGAAAACTTCCTGTGTAGATCAGGAACCTACAAATAAAACCAAAGACTATAAAATTCATCAGAGAAAAGCTAGGAAGAACTCTAGAAGCCCTAGTCCACAGCATGAACAGTCTTCCAAGCATAATGAAAAACTTAAAATCAGGAGAGAATAAAATAGATGAATGGGACGTTCTAAGAACCAAATCCCTATGCACATAAAAAAATTTCTCCAAAAGGTGAGAAGGAAACCCACAGACTGGGAAAAAAATATTCAGCAATGACTTATCTGATAAGAAACTTTTATCTAAAATTTATAGTATACTCCAGAACCTCAACAAAAAAAATGTAAACAATAACAAAATGGGGACAGGATATGAAAAGGTACTTCACCAAAGAGGACACTGAGATGGAAAACAGAAAGATGAAGAAATGTTCAAAATCACTAGCTATTAGATGCAAATCAAAACAACTACAAGATACTATATCACCCCAGTAACAATAACAAAATTCAACAGGATAGCAAAGAACAAATACTGGTGAGGCTGTGGAGAGATTGGAACTCTTATTCACTGCTGGTGGTAATGTAAAAAGGTACAACCACTATGGAAGGTGGTCTGGCACTTTCTCAGAAAGTTGGAAATAGAGATGCCATTTGGCCCAACAAGTCTACTACTAGGAATATATCCTAAAGAAACCAGAGCTTCTAAACAAACAGATGTATGTTTACTGCTGTATTATTCACAATAACAAAGAGATGGAAGCAATGCAAGTGCCTATCAGCAAGGGAATAGAAAAACTATGGTATATTCACACAATGGAAATATGCAGCATTGAAAACCAAGAAACTCATAAAATATTACACAACATGGGTGACCCTGGAGGACATTATGGTGAGTGAAATATCTCTGTCACAAAAGGACAAATATTATATACCATCACTGTTATAAAATAGAACTGACATGGGGGTTTGGGGATAACAAAGAAAAGAGGGGATAAATAATGAATACTGCATTGGAACAGGTGAAGAAAAGAACTGTTTAAAAGGAATATAGATTAGGCATTATTTGTATGACAACAGTCCAGAATCAGAAGTGTATAGCAAGGTGACCTGGAGGAGGGTTTGAGGGGAGATGGGAGGAAATTATGCAACAATAAATGAATATTTTCTTTTAAAAAAGCAAACTGGGGTGTAGAGAGAAAAATGTGCAACCATGAATGAATGAAAATCCAACTTTTCTGTAAACTTTCGTTAAAATCACAATTCAATAAAATGGAAAACATAAACTTCCTGTGAATCTACAATTGTTTCAAAATAAAAAGTTTAAAAAAAACCCCCAGAGATGCCTAATTGAACAGGTCTGCATTTGGCTCTACCAATTAAATATTTGATGATACTGAAATATTACTATTATTTGTTTCTAGCATACCAATAGTATTATTGCTATGTTTAAAAACAACTTATCTCTTAGTGGGCAAATACTAAGCTATCTGTAAATAAATCATATCATGTGATACCTGGGATTTACTTCAGAATAATCATCTAGGTCCATGTGCAGATGAAATAAAAATGGGTCACGCAGATAGTAAGTGAAACTTGGTAATGAATACCTTTGAAGGGAGGTGGTATGACAGATTTTTTGTAATACAATTTTCTGTACTATATTATGCTTGAAAATTCCCATAACAGAATAGTGTAAAGGGAGGGAGCCTGATCTTTCCCTCCCCTTTCCAGAATACTTCAGGGGTCCATGGGCCACTGGGAGAGAGGTAGGGAGCTGGTGATGAGTGAGAGTCAAAGGAGAGTGGAGTAAATCTAAGACCTTGTACAATGCAGAGGGGATTACCCGGTTACGGGGAAGGGTCCAGCCGCACACAGCACATTCCTGGGCAAGCAGGCGGCGCAGGAAGGCCCGGTCATGGCTGTGTCTCACAGCTTCTACCACATCTCCCAACTCATAATTCCTTGGCGTCTCCTGCAGCAGCGACAGCGCCAACTCTGCCCGGCCCCAGCTAGGGAGCGCATAGACTGCCAGCAACCGCCTGACAAGGCTCTGTAATGTGATTGTGGATGGGAAAGGAAAGATGTGGCCATCAGAATAGAATGGTCCTTCCCCTCAGCCTTCCCTTTGCCTCGCCAGGTGAACCCTTGAGCTCCTTCCCTCCTTCCAGCACCTGCTTATCTGGTCCGTCCCAGGATGGAGTGGGCTCAGGGTCACTGTCCCAGAGGCGCTGATGGAAGGGCTCAAGGCGCTGGCGCTGCAGCTCAGTCAAGGCACGTGCCACATCCCCTCCATGCTGGAACAAAGCCTGCAGAGACCCCTCCTTAGGCTCAAAGCCCAAGGACTGGAGCTCTTGTACCTGAAAATTCAGAGAGAACATCAAGGAAGAAAAGCAAAGAATGTCAGCGATTACAAAACCCTTAACCCTCAATCTTGTCCCATTTCAAGCACAGCAGGTACCTTCTTCCGCCGGGCCCTCACACACTCTTCCACAGCTTCATCAAGGTTGCCGTGACGGTCCAGCCAGGCTTTCCGAGCCTCCTGACAGGAAAAGGCACCCAGTCCTGGGTTCCGTTGTCCCGCCAACTCAGCCACCATCTCCAGAACATAAGGCAGCTCAGAGTGCAACCACTGCAGGGGGACCTCAGTGCCCGAGTACTGCAAAGCGGAGAAGACCTCTTCTGGGCAGGCCCCTGCAGCTTCCCCTTCCTAAAGCACAGCCCCACCCAGACAAAGAGCTCATCAGGAAGGGTAGCTTTCACCATGGCTCAAACCAAAACAGCTGAACTCACACACAAGGGCTGTGTGATCCATACACACTATTGATCTGACATAAGGGAAGTATTCAATAATGAGCTTACTGCTAGCATTGACATATTTTATAAGAATTCTTATTGTTAACTACAGCCTCTTCCTTTTCCTACTAGCTCAGCCCAGCTTCACCCAATGCCCACTCCTCACCCGGATCATCACCACTAGCTGGAGACCTTCCTCTCGCATCTTATCTTGGCGTTGCTTTTCAGGATCCCTGCAGGAGCTAGGCAGTGGGGTGCTGAGGCGTTGCAGGGATGCAGGCTCGGGCTGTCTCTCTTCCAAAGAGCTGGCATGGGGCTGAGGGGCATGCTGGCCTGGGATGGGACTGCTGGTCCGGTTGCACATCGCACATACCCAGCCAGGGCCTGAGTTGCAGAAGGTACAGTGGATACAGGACCAAACTTGAGTCTGGGGAGAGCAGAGCAAAGTTTTCCCCTGCTGGGAAGACAGAGAGAATCACCTGGCTAGCGCTCAAGCTAGAAATATAAGGAGCTAGAAGATGAAGGAGATTAAATAGCATGGAGAGGGAGAGAATGGTTGGAGGTAGCAGGTACAAATAATGACAGAGGAAGGCCAGGAACAGATTACCTGAAGGGGTTGCAGGCAGATGCCAGTGTCGTGGGAATCTATTAGCAAGCTAGGAGGTTGGGCCAGCCGAGGTCGCTCACATATGGCACATAGCACAGCTGCTGCCTCATTCTCAAAAGTGCAGCTTTGGCAGGTCCATCGGCCCCGTGCAAGCTCATTTTCTGGGCTCCCAGCTCCTTGGTTACCCTCAACCCCCATCCCTAAGCCTTTACAACCTCGAGGCCGATCACAGGCCCCACAAAGCACTGCCCAAGGCTCATTTTCCATGGTACAAGCAGCACAGTGCCAGGGCAAACGGGCGTTTGCAGGGTCAGGGGAAAGAAGACCGTTGTCTCCCAGGGCTGGTAGAGAGGTCGACTGGGGCCTTGAAGGGGCTGGGACAGATAGGCTGTAATGAAAAGTGAATACAAGCTGCTGAGATGGTACGTGGATTCCTCATTCTTCAGCACTCCCTTCCTCTGCAAAATGACAGATGGCTCTGGCCATTGTCCATGTTATTATCTCTGCTTAGAATACTTTCACACTCACAGCCTGTTTAAGTGACAGACTAAAGCTCACTTTTGTCTAGTAGATATCCCTGCATGAAATTGACCTATTCTAGTTATTTAAAAAAATAAAATAAGGGGAGCTCTGGTGGCCTAGTGGCAAGAAGCTGCAACTACAATCCCAGAGGTGCACAGTTTGAATCCACCAGATGCTCTGCCGGGGAAGGAGGGGCAATCTCCTCCTGTACCAGTCAGATCTGATTTGACGGTACACGCACACAAAAATAATAAAATAAAATTTTTAAAAAATAAATAAACAATAACAGACAATATATAATAAGGGGATGATCAGCAGAATATCAATAAAGAAAGGGAAGACACAGAAAGGTATAGAAGAATTAATTAAATCTGAATTACAAGGAGTGTGATTACACTCTAGATATTTGAATTAATGTTAAAAACCAACATGAATGACTAAATGAAAAATTAACTTGCTTGGTAAACTTTCACTCAAATCCCAATAAAAAAGTAAAAAAATGATGACTGAGAGAGCCCTTCAGGTTGTACCGTTGCACTATTTGCACACCCTAAAAGCCTATCTTATTGATGCTGCTATTCACTTGATGAATATATCTATAAACTCTTTGTGGACAGTGACTGGCTGGTCATCTTCAACACAGTCTTTAGAACAGAATGTAGCACATAGAAGCCAAGTGGCTTTTGGTTTTATGAATTTCATTATCACCTAGAAGAAAAAGCCCCTTACCTGGGTATTCGGTTGGTGGTCTGAGGAGCTGCAGGGAGGGACTGGCGGAGGTGATGGGCACGGGACGGATGCCCATGGAAGAGATGGTCACACGCAGAGCACAAAGTCTGTTTACAGGCTGGGCAGTGCAGTATGCCTGGGGCAGAACCACAGAGGAAGCAGGGCCCAGGAGTGGGGTCTGGAGGAGGGAAAGAATAGAATCTATCTCTGAAAAGTGCATGTTTACATTGGAATCTGTAGCAAGAGAGAAGATCGGCCACAAGATTACTTTTCAACATATCTGAACCCAAAGAAAGAACTTTGGTCTCTTTAAAGAAACAAATTAAAGTGACCATGAAAGACACAAGATTCCACAATTCCATCACTGGGTCTACTATCCCCTCCTCCTTACAGCCCTAGAAGACTAATACCTTGGGCTGAGGGTGTGATGAGGGATCCAGGAGCAATTTCTCTGAGTATAGGGGTAAACTCCGAAAACTGCAGCATCTGAGGTAAGAGTGTCAGAGAATGGGCAAGGGTGGAGGGCCAAAAAGCCCCTCACTCCCTACCCTGTCTCCCTTCCTTACATCATCTTCCACTTTGTCTTGCAGCAGCTGCTCCAGTGCCTGCTGTTGCGGGTGAGAATTCTGCAAACAAGATCAAAGGAGTTCCCATCTAGAACCTTTGAACAAAGCTCTCCCTCTGAGCCTTGTCAACACTCTGGGAAGCTCTGAAGTTGCTGCTGGGAATATTCCCATAGTTCACCAGCACCGGGTCCCCAACTGGCCTCTGACTCAGATAAGCCCCCAGCCCTGGTGTTTGAGTCCAGAGGACCGGACAACACCTCACCTCCAAAAGCAGGCTGAGCTCTGTCCGAAGCAGCAGTACTTCCAGTGTGACTGTAGCAACCTGACGCTCATCTGGCTCCTCCTGCCCCTCAGGGAAGCTCAACCCATCTGGCTGCTCCTCCGTGTAGCCGTACAATCGTAACACATCCCGGCCCCCCTGTCATACATTCACAACCAGTCACAACCCAGCAGGCTCCTTCTCCCAAAAGGGCTCCACTCCCTTCTCAGCAATCTCAGCCTTGCCCAGTCCCCACCTCCCACGAGGGCCGGGGTTTTCACCTGTACAGCATCCACTGTACTGTGAAAGACAGGGTTGTTAAACTTGACCCCGCGCCAGAACCGGGGTCGCTGAGGGCAAAGGAGGTTGCGGCCGTATTTCTCCAGGATGTTCAGAGCCGTGGACAGGCCGCCGAGGTAGATGTGGGGCTACAAAGAGCAGAGAGCTGTGAGCCTGGCCAGGTCCCCAGGCCCTCGGTCCTCCCCCCGAAGGGGCAGGGCCTCACCTCCCCATGAGCGTTGCAGCGAACCAGGCGTGCAGCGTCCAGGTGCCGGTAGCGGGCCGACGGCGGCAGAGAGGTGGTCAGAAGCGGCCGGAGCTGCTCCAGGGAAAACGTCTGTCCAGAATCCTTCCTGAGGGCACTCTCCAATTGCTCGCGCGCCTCCAGGAAGGCCCGCTCCTCCTCCTCCCACGGCATCCTGAGATCCGAGTCAGCTCCGGGCTCAGGCGCAGGCCGCGCGCAAGCCGCGCGCCGCCTCCAGCTTGGTGTCTGGCTCTGTGGATCAGAACAGGCCAGAGAGCCACTGCAGCAAACTCAGGATCCCGCCACTCTACGGCCCCCAGCCCCAGGACAGGGTTTGCTGGAGACAGGAAGTACTAGGAAAGAGGGCGGGCCTGCGACCTTGTCTTCAGGGGAAGGGGCGGGACTTATGGTAAAGGGAAGGTATTTATACAACGGGGGCGTGGTCAAGAACAGATAGGCCAGGTCCCAACCAATGAGAAGGGCAAATGACCACAGTCTCCTCCGGTTTGAAGATACGGGGCGTGGGGGGGAATGTTGTGTGGGGGGGATGTGTGTTTTGGGGTGTGGTCCGTGGTGTGTTGAGTGTATGTATGTGAGTGGTAGTTCTTACTTCATGAGAGGTTCTGCCTCTTCCTGCATAGCTTGTGGCACGGGATCAGCCCTCTTTCTTCAGTTTCTTCCTATTTCTGGGGCTACTCAAACATGTTCCAGAGCCCACTAAGAACATTCTGCCTGGCTGCTGGGGACAAAACTCTGACAGGCCCTAGCCAGTTTCAAATGAGTCCCCCCACCTTCTTTTCCTGAAGGCCAGGTATTTTCCTGGGGAGAGCTCCCGCCCCTTTGTATACAGTTCCTCCCCGCCCCAGATCCTTCCTCTGACATCCACTCGTGGTCCCTCTCCGTCCCTTCTCTGCGGTCGATCTTTCCTCGGGAAGATTTACCGCGGGACAGCGGCTTCCCCATCGCTCCCCTGGTCCGGCCCAGCCCTCTCTGCAAGCCCCGCCTCCTCCAGGGGACAGCCCCACTTTCAGTCCCCTGTCCGCTTTGCTCTAGCCCCTCCCTCAGACAGCCCCCTACACGGGTGACCCAGCCGGTACCGCCTCCCCCAGTGACTTCTGGCGGGGAATGACCAAGGAACTCCTCTCCGCGTGCCGCCTGCCAGGGAGAGGAGGGCGGAACGAAGGGGGCGGGACTAAGGGGGGCGGGCCTGGACCTGGGGAGTGAAAGCGAAAGCCCAGGCCGTGAGCCGGGAGATCGAAGATTCTGCAACTGGAGGAGCATGGCCAAGCCTTGTGGGGTGCGCCTGAGTGGGGAGGCCCGCAAACAGGTAACTGGGGGCTAAGAAGGCCAAGAAGGAGCATGGGAGCTTGCAAATCCAGGTGCTCCGGGATACCACGACCACACCAGAGAACTCCCCAAGCCCCTCACTTTCATGGTTTCACTTCTGTTCGGGGATTCCCAGATTCCTGACCTTTGGCTAGTCTGCACTGAGCGAGGGTCTCCCAAGGGAAACTGAATGCTGATGGGAAAGGACTGAGTCACAGTTGGAAGGCACTCCATTGCAGGGTGGGTTTTACTCTTGGCATCTGAGACCCTTAACCAACATCCCGGTACTGCCTTCTGTGCAGGTGGATGTCTTCAGACAAAATCTCTTCCAGGAGGTAAGTCTTAGCGATTTGACCCAGACGTTTAGGCCGATAGTTGTTGAGGGTTACAACCTTCAGAATGGCTTGCAAACCCGCCTTGCACTTCTGCCCTACTTCCATTATGAAGCCTTCCTAGCGTGAATTACTAATTATTTATCTCTGCCTTTAATCTTACTCCTCTTGAGACTCTACTCCCCTTCCGCTTTCATTCGTCTCTTTTGGTGTGTCCTAGTGGCTGTGGAACTGCACTGCCAGTCCAAAGGCACATGAGCCCAATCGACCAGCTGCTCTCTGGGTAAAAGATAGGCAGTCTCCTCCCTTGCAACATTTAGTCTGAAAACCTGCTTAGGGGTCAGCTATGAATTGGTTCTAACCTAACAGCTCATAACAACAAATTTTGGTGTGGAAGGAAATGCAGTACTATCACAGCACTACCCTTGAGTCTACACCTACCAGCTTGGGCAAGTCCCTTATCTTGTCAGGGCATCATTTCCTCATTTATAAGCCTTGAATTCAGTTCTTTCCAAGGGCCCTTCCAGCCTCAGTTCTCAATCTCATTGAACATCTTCTATGATTTACCCCACACTTGCCATGTAATAACCCACAGGCTGAGGAATTTCTCTGCACATTCTTGCCACAGAAGATCATATACCTGAATCAACTCCTGAAAGTAAGTAGTGTGGGCCCTTCCTGCCTCATCCCATGTCCTGTCTCCCTCCACCTACCCTTTCTAGCTAACAACTGGACTCAGCAGCAGAGAACAGTTGTGAATGGTGGATAGCAGCATTAGGGTGAAGAGGCCTGAGCCAGGGTTGGGAGGGTGGGTGGGAAGAATGAAGGGAAAACTTCGGGAAGTTGCTGGGCAGGCAGGCCCTGACGGTGAGCTCTGTACAGGAGGACTCCTTCAATGTGACTGACCTGACTTCCCTTCGGGCTCCACTAGACATCCCAATCCCAGACCCCCCACCCAAGGATGATGAGGTGAGGAACTCAGGGTACAGGGCTTGGACTATAAAACCTATCAATAAAGATAATAACTCTTCAACTCCATGACATTTCTAAATCTGTTTCCTTCAATTCCATTTTAGATGGAAACAGATAAGCAGGAGAAGAAAGAAGGTAAGAAAGGAAAGGTAGATGGAGAAAGGGGAATGGCATATTGACTCCTGAATGAGAAGGAGCCTGAGTCTTCTCTTTCTCCCAGTCCCTAAGTGTGGCTTTCTCCCTGGAAATGAGAAGATGCTGGCCCTGCTTGCTATCGTTAAGCCAGAAGTCTGGACACTCAAAGAGAAATGCATTCTAGTAAGTCTGAAAATTGGGGGAAGAAGAAAGAAAGAAAATAAATAAGGTCAGGTCCTGCTGTCCTGCAGGGATGCAAAGTCTTCATTTTAGGACCTAGTCCCCAAATAGGAAACTTGCTTCCCTGCCTCAGACTTAGATGCTCTTTGTTTTCCTCCTTATTCTGAAAGACCTCTGGTATCATAATGGTGCCCAAAAGTCAGAGAATGTACTGTATACATCTTTAAACTCAGAACCTACTGCTGTAGTGGAGATGGTGTGATATAAAGAGTGGTTTAAGCACGTGGGCCATAAAGAGAGAGACTGCTTGGGTTCACATAGTGACTCTTAGCACTTACCTAGCTGATTACCTTAAGTAAGTCACTTTGATTTGCTGTGACTCAGCTTTCTTATCTGTTAAGTGGGTATAGTAAATATGTCTTGAAAGGTTTCTGTGATAATTAAATGTGATAAATAATACATCACAAGGGTCTAGCACATTGTAAGTACTCAAATAATACTTATAATTAGGAAATAGCAATAGTTTTATTCAGGATACCTTTTAACATAGGTGATCACGTGGATCCAGCATCTGATCCCCAAGATTGAAGATGGAAATGACTTTGGTGTGGCAATTCAGGTAATATGTTGACTTCTGAGTGAGGGGACTGAGAGTGGGAAAAGATTCAGAGAGTAAGGGATAGGATGTAGACAACAGCCAGTGGGAGGAGGGAGAAACTGATGGAAGAAAAAGGCAATGGGATGTTTCTTTGTTTCCTACATCTTTTATCACCACAGGAGAAAGTGCTGGAAAGAGTGAATGCAGTCAAGACCAAAGTGGAAGCCTTCCAGACTACCATTTCCAAGTGAGGGCATACATTTGTAAGGATGACCAGTCCCATCAGGACAATGGTGAACTTTAGGAAGTGCCTGAGGGAGGACAGATTCCTGAACTCCCATTCCTAGGCCTCTTTTCCTTATTCTGGCAGGTACTTTTCAGAACGTGGGGATGCAGTGGCCAAGGCTTCCAAGGAGACCCATGTGGTGAGTGGAGAGTCCACTAGCCTTTAAGCTGGGGCTGGTTGGAGGTGAGAAGGAGAGGAGCAGGAGGAGTGAGTTTCCTTTTCTTATTTATGATCTTTCCAATGCAGAGACCATCAAGCCAAAAGCATGCGCTATGGGCTTCAGAAACCTTGATACTTTTCTCTGCTTGATCCTGTGGGATCTTATTTTTTGATAATGAGAAAGGATTAATTATCAAGTAATTTATTTCCTATAAGAGGAAACTAATGTCCCAAGCTCCTGTGGGGCTGACTCAACTTTGCCTCCCACACTCCAGATGGATTACCGGGCCCTGGTACATGAGCGAGATGAGGCAGTCTATAGAGAGCTTAGAGCCATGGTGCTGGACCTGAGGACCTTTTATGTGAGTGTTGAGTTAACCACTAATGGAAGCAAGTGAGGTGGGCAGGGAGCAAAGGCCAGGCCCTGACTGATGCCCCTCTGGATTTTTCCTTAGGCTGAGCTTTATCATATCATTAACAGCAACCTGGAGAAAATTGTCAATCCAAAGGGAGAAGAGAAGCCATCTATGTATTGAGCTCCTGAGTAGGAGGGAATTAAATGACTTGTACTTTGTGTGGATAGCTTCTGGTGTGTGTCATTTATTCAGAAAACACTTACTGTTATTTGTGTCTAATTACTGGGTGTCTGTATGACAAAGGGATGGGGTTACCAGGAAGACAAACAAATTAGATGCTTATCCTAAAGAAGTTGTCGTAAAGAACACTTCTTTAGGGTGGACTGTTATATGCTATGATAGCCAGACAAATAACTTGCTTCTTGAAATGTCACAAGATTATTTCCATCTGAATGAATGCACGTCACTTCTTCCATGAATGGAAAAGATTCTAGAGAAGTTCTGAGCATTTCTTACCTAGAGCGATGTGCTTGCGTTCCTCCCAGGCCTTCTATGTTGTCCTCCTGCAGGATTTTCCTATTCATGAATAAATGTATACCTTTCTTCTTTGCTAATAAATCTGTTTAAAAAATTGCACAGCAGGGTGTTGGGATTGTAGTATTACACAATGAGAATGATGGAACTGTAGGATTTTTTGCATAATTCTCTTTTCCCATTCATCAAACAATTACTATATTTATGCCTGCTTTTTTAGGTTTAGTTCTGTTGAGATTATAAGAACAAGGTCTCCTTTAATGTGATTTTTTAAATGTGATTTTTGCAATAAATTC